TGCTCTTCTCAGTTCTGTTTTCATTGTCTTTGCAAAGTTTCTATAGAATCCCTGACAGTTGTGCCTCAGCTTATTTTCTTTCCAAATCTGCTCCTTTCTGACAGATTCTACAGGCCTCCTAGCTTCTAGAACTCTCCTCAAGAGCCACTGAGAACATCATGCAGTGGCATCCTGAGCCTGTAGGTTAGCTCTCAAAGGTTCTCAAGACTGAGTTCCTGGGAGCTCTCCACACCAGTAAGCCCCATGCACACCCTCCTCACTTGGCCACCAGTGTCAAAGGCTCACCTTCTTTGCCTCTACCTGGCCTCCTCAAAGATCAGAGGTTTGAGCCAGGTGTTCACACCTGTAATCCTACTTTTAATTATAGGCTCACACCTGTAATCCTAGCTACTCAGGAGGCAGAGACCAGGAGGACTAAGAGTTTGAAGACAGCCCCAGGCAAATAGTTTGTGAGATCCTATCTTCAAAAAAGAAAAGGATCAGGGGTTTGAAAGGATGTAAAAGGTTTCCCCTGCTCTCTTTCTATTCTAGTCCCTACTACAGATAGAATCACAGCCCATTTCCACTTGTGACTTCCCAGACTAGGTCAGGGATCAAACTCTCCTGATTTCCCTGCTGGAACTGAATCATACCAGTCCCACAAAAAAAAAAAAAAAAAAAAAACAATAAAAACAAAAACTGATGGATTAGCACATATTTTCATGTGAATGAGTCAGGAGTCCTATGTGGGATTTAAATTTCTAGCGTGCTCTAATTCTATTTTTGAATTTTTGGCAGAACTGGATTTGAACTCAGGGCCTTGTCCTTGCTAGGCAGGCACACTACCACCTTGAGGGACTCCACCAGCGCAACTGTCCTCTAATTCTGGAATAACAACCTTTGAACCCAATGAAAGAAATCCTATCACCTGACTGAGGAAGATATGAAGGTGAAAGGGCTATCCCAGACACCCTACTCTACTGAAACTCACTCTGACCCATAAAAAAAGGCTGAATAAAAACAAAAAACAACAAGAAACAGGCAAGCTGGGAGCCAAAGGCTCATGTCTAAATCCTAGCTACTCTGGAGGCAAGATCAGGATGATCAATAGTTTGAAAGCCAGCAGAGGCAAATGTTTGTGAGACTGTAATCTGAAAAAAACCCTTCACAAAAAGGCTGGTAGAGTGGCTCAAGATGTAGGCCCTGAGTTCAAAAGGTGAAGAAAATAATTTATTCCTTTTTAAATAAGGGCACTGACATGAAACTTGCAACATGAATACATGATTAAAGAAAAATGACAGAAGGAAGGGTTGTGCTAGCAATATGCTGGGAAGTGGCGGGGAACAGGGCAGAGTAGACAACACCTTCAGAGCAGAGATTACTGTAGAACATAAGTAGCATAACAATATCCTTCACTGAGGGACTCCAACCTAAGTCTGAGGTGACCAGAGGAGAACAGAAAGCCAGCAATACTGTTAGTCTCACCACCAAAGTGAACTCAAAGTCTTGCACTTTCCAGGCAGGCACTGTTTTTCCTTTTAGGTATTTTTCAAATAGGGTCTCAAATTTATACCCAGGCAGCCTGGCCCATCATCCTATTTATGCTTCCCACATAGCTGGGATGACAGGTGTGTACCACCATGCTCAGTCTTTATTGGTTGAGCTGGATGTCTCAAGAACTTTTTGCCCAAGCTGGCCTTGAACTGTGATCCTACCAATCTTCACCTCCTAAGTAACTAGATTACAGGTGTAAGCCACTGCACCTGGCTCTTTCTTCCTTTTACAAAAAGATGCACCTTAGAGACTTGTTCTATGGCCTGCCAAGCAAGCTCAAAGCCCTGAGTTCAAACCCCAGTACCACTTAAAAAATAAAAGTAGAGACTTGTTCCCATGGATAAGTAACCTCGTAAACTTTAAGTGGTACTTAAGGACAAAAATGTGGTTCCCTCAAAATTTGGCCCAAGACAAATTTGTCCCAGACAGTCACAAGGCTACTCATGCCTGGAGCAGAGAACACATATTGTGGCATAGGCATGACTGGTCCTGGGTCTACTGCTAAAAAGGATGACAAGATTGGGCCAAGCTTGGTAGCACCCATTGTATGGGCTTGCCAAAAAAGCTAATTCCAGAAGCCCAGATTCTGAAGGTGTGGAGTGGGTTCTGGGAACCTACATTCCTAAAGAACCTTATTGAGGTGATTATGAGGAAGGCAGTCTAATTGGGGTCAAGTGAGCATGGGGTGGTTTGGCAGGGTTCTGGGGACAAAGCGGGTAGTCAGTAGTAGGAGAAGAAGCTTGTGAGAACTGTTATCCAGGGACAGAAAATAGATATGGGAGGAGAGCTGTTTTCTGTGTCACCCACAGTACCCCATGGGACAATCCATTTTTCTGAGCTAGCCTGGCCCTAGTCTTTCAAAACCACAACTGAAGCCATGCTTTTGGAGGGCCACTAATTGCTCAGAACAGCTTGCATTTAGTAATTGGTGCGGAGAAGCCTCCCTCTAAATAGATAAAAACATGTCAAGGTAGCCTGGCATGGTGGCATATGCCTTATAATTTCAGCTACTTGGAGGCTGAGACAGGAGAATAGCAAGTTCAAAGTCAGTCTGCAGGGTTCTGGGGACAAAGCGGGGTAGTCAGTAGTAGGAGAAGAAGCTTGTGAGAATGTGTTATCCAAGGGACAGAAAATAGATATGGGAGGAAGAGCTGTTTTTCTGTGTCACCCACAGTACCCCCATGGGACAATCCATCTTCTTCTGAGCTAGCCCTGGCCCTAGTCTTTCAAAAACCCACAACTGAAGCCATGCTTTTCTGGAGGGCCACTAATTGCTCAGAAACAGCTGCATTTAGTAATTGGTGGGAGAAGCCCTCCCTCTAAATAGATAAAAACATGTCAAGTAGCCTGGCATGGTGGCATATGCTTATAATTTCAGCTACTCTGGGAGCTGAGACAGGAGAATAGCAAGTTCAAAGTCAGTCTGGGAAACATAGTGGGACCCTGTCTCAAAATAAAAATTTTTTAAAAAGGAGCTAGGGAGTAGCTTAGTGGCACAGTGCTTTTGTAGCATGTACGAAGCCTCGAGTTCAACCCCTGTACTTAAAACACACAAAAACATGTCAACCGTAATTGGGCCCCAGTCTTGGTGTCTGGCAGGCTCTTGATCCCTGGCATCTTTGTACCAGCTCCAGGCAAGTGGTTTAAATACATGCTTTTTTTTTTTTTTTTAGCAATACTGGGTTTGAACTCAGGACCTCAGGCTTGCTAGGCAGGTGCTCTACCACTTGAGCCACTCCACCAGCCCATTTTGTGTTGGGTCATTTTCGAAGATAGGGGCTCCTTAACTATTTGCCTGGGATGGTTTTGAACCTCGATCTCTTGATCACTGCCTCCCAAGTAGCTAGGATTACAGGCATGAGCCTCAGCACCAGGCAAATGCACGAATTTCTACTGTATGATACCATTGCCCTCACTGGCCTTCTCTCTAGAGGAAGATTTGGGACACATTGGGCCACAAAGAACTTATTAACTATTAATATAGTATGTACCATGCAGGTACAAATGGCAACCATATTTCAAGGACACATTATGAAAAAAGAAAAACACTTTACAACCGTAGAAACGGCTGCTGAAGGTATAGGTGCAGGAAGCTGCTTTATCTGTGGAAGCTCACATCCCCACTCCTGCCACTCGTTTGTGGGTTGGAATATGGTTTGTACTGCCGTGCTGAAAATGAATGGGTCAGTTAGAAGTCTGATTTAGTGATATCATATTTATCCCTATTTATTAGGAACGATAAAAAGAGACATCTATGCAACTTTGTCAACAACCAGCTGTGCAGTTCCATACACAGAAAGCCTACCAAAGCATCATTTTCTTCAGGGGACAAAGCTCCACCCTGGATTAGTTTTCACCAAAGCCCCCCACTTTTAGGAGGTCAGATCCAGCTTTCACTTCCACTCCAATCAACAAATCTGAGGGCCCTGCTAGGGAAAGCATGAACAGGCTAAGCGATACAGTATGCCCAGGAACAGAAAAAATCCTTCCTAACTTACGCCTGGGAAATGGTGATCTGAAAAGCTTCATGTTGGCATCTTGGATTCCTCACTAACATTTTCCTTTTTTTTTTTTTTCCTGAGTTTTCTTGACCATAGTCTTGACACACAGGGAAGCCACACATTCCCAGGGTATACCCTTTGTTTGGTGTGGTAACATCAGACACCCTTCCTTCTTTTAAAGAAGAAACTAAACATTCCCATGAGAGTAAATGGCTAAATCTCTTTTTTGGCCAACATGGTCATTAACTTAACATCTAAGAAATAATTGTAGGAGCATGTTGGCTTTGCAGGTCAGTGGCACCCAAAAGGAATAAATACATTAGTAAAAAGGACAAAAAGAACAAAATGATGAAAAAAAACACTATTTTATTTTTTGTTTCTGTGTTTTTGACAGACCTGGGGTTTGAACCCAGGGCTTCCACACTTGCCAAAGCAGGTGCCTACCAGTATAGCCAAGCTCCAGTCCATTTTTGCCTCTGGTTATTTTGGAAATGGGTCTTGAGAACTATTCCAACTATAAGACACTCCCAATCTCAGCCTCCCAATTAACTAGGTTTACAGTGTGCAGCCACTAGCGCTAAGCTAAAACTGCATTTTTATTTTGAAGGTCAGCGAAAAGAGCTCTATTACATGGCCTGGGACATGCTGTGGGTAGAGGCAAAGTCATCACTTGAACACACTCTTCGCCATCTTTGCTGCTAAAACTGTATTTTAAAAGGGCGATTTTTGGTCTGCACTTTAAAAGGACAATCTTCCTTTTTGGATAAAAGACTTCAAGTGGACAGTCAGTGTTTCATCCAAGGCTCTCACCTCTAGGTGGCTCTCATTCCACAATAGACCCTCCAACAAGGCTTTTTGCAGTGAATCGTGTTATGCCCAAGAATTCCCCACTGCGAGTCCAGATACCATAAGTATCAAGGCATCACCTGAGGTCACTGTCATTTTTGTCCATTGAGTCTGGGACACTCAACTGAGCTCCTGAGAAAGTGGATCAGCTTGGTCTCTGTTGAGAATGCCTGTCCCAAGATCACTCCTAAACAAAAGCACCCCACAACAATGTGGGCCAGCCTGGCAAGCCAGCCCCGCTCACAGCAGAGGAATACCTGGCGGAAAGAAATGACTGTCATTGCCAACTCCTTGGTCTAGATCCCCGTTCTCTTAGACTAGCCAGAGACAGTGATAATACTCCAGCTTCCAAGATGAAAAAAAGACATGACAACTAGGCTGGGGAGGGCTACTCTCTTCCACTGGTGCCATATGTGCATATGGTGCTACCCTAGAGGCCTGGGGAAGGCAGGAGGCAGCAAACACTTGTCCGTGTTTGGGTTCAGGCAGGGCAAGAAGGAAAACCTAGAGGGATGGACAGTGAACAGCCCACAGAAGCATGTGGTGTGAAGGCTGCAGGAAATCTTACCTCTGAAATACCAGTAATCCCACCACTGAGGGCAAATACGCCAAGGAGGACTGGAGACAGGAGCAGACCAGCCAGGGGCCTATGGGGGCTCCCTTGGTAGTAGTGGTGGATGAAACGAAGGCTCTGTGTGATCCGAATACCCATATTAAAGCAGTTGGCCAAGATGAAGCCCACACTGCCACACCAACGGGTCAGGAGATAGGATAACACCAGGAATGAAGAGGACAGTGCTAGCATCGTAAAATTGTACCTGGGGAGAGGGAGACAAGCAAACCAGGGCAGTGGGTACCTTGCCCCAAGACAAGACCATTGCAAAACAGTGTTTCATGAACATCGACTCAACTAAAGAACCTCTGAATTCCCTTAACTCCTGCTGAGTTTCCATAGTTTTTGTTGTTTCCAGTACTAGTGGGTTGAACTCAGAACATTGTGCATGCTCATTAAGAACTATATTTCCAACTCTTAGTTTTTTGAAAGAGTATTTTACTGCTCCAAGAGGCTGGCCTGTACTCATGATCCTCCTGCCTCTACTTGATTGCTGGGCTTATAGGTGTGTGCTATCATACCTGACTATAGCTCGAGTTTTTATAACACAGTTTTTATAACACATAGTTAACATAGAAATGTCACTGTGTTCTTCACCCATATACAGAAGAGTAAGAAAACAAGCAGAGATATTTATGGTTTTTGCTTTTGCTTTTTTTCAACACTGGGGTTAGAACCCAGGGCCTCTAATTTGAGCCACTCCACCAGCCCTATTTTTGTGATTTTTTTTTTTTTTTGAGATAGGGTCTCACGAAATATTTGCCAAGGCTGGCTTTGAACCACAATCCTCCTGATCTCTGCCCTCCCTGTGTAGCTAGGATTACATGAGCAAGCCACTGGCACCCTGGCTATATATGTTTTTTTTTAAGGATAGTAGTTGATTAGTTGATACTTTATAATCAAAGCACATAAAAATCCTGTTTAACCCAAGTTCCCATATGAGGCACAAGAATGTGACCTGGATAATAGTTATATATTAGATGCTAATTCCTCATGAGAGGCCCCATGAGGAATGTTGGGGACACAATGGTAAACAAATACACATGACCCTTGTACTGTGGAACTTGGATTTGTTTCAGAGACAAGGCAACTAGCAACAGAGAGGCTAAGAACCTGCTCAAGGAGTGACCAACATTCCAACCTTTTTTATTTTTAATTCATATGTGCATACAATGTTTGGGTCATTTTTCCCCCTTCCCCCACCTCCTCCCTGACCCCTCCACCCCTCCCTCCCCCTCACCCCCTCAATACCCGGCAGAAACTATTTTGCCCTCATCTCTAATTTGTTGAAGAGAGAGTATAAGCAGTAATAGGAAAGGACCAAGGATTTTTGCTAGCTGAGATAAGGATAGCTATACAAGGAGTTGACTCACATTGCTTTCCTGTGCATGTGTGTTACCTTCTAGGTTAATTCTTCTTGATCTAACCTTTTCTCTAGTTCCTGTCCCATTCTCCTAATTGGCCTCAGTGCTTTAAGATATCTGCTTCAGTTTCTCTGCGTTGAGGGCGACAAATGCTATCTAGTTTTTTAGGTGTCTTACCTATCCTCACTCCTCCCTTGTGTGCTCTCACTTTATCATGTGCTCAAAGTCCAATCCCCTTGTTGTGTTTGCCCTTGATCTAATGTCCACATATGAGGGGAACATACGATTTTGGTCTTTTGGGCCAGGCTAACCTCACTTCAGAATGATGTTCTCCAATTCCATCCATTTACCAGCGAATGATAATTTTCGTTCTTTCCTTCATGGCTGCATAAAATTCCATTGTGTATAGATACACATTTTCTCTAATCCATTCATCAGTTGGTAGGGCATCTTGGCTGTTTCCATACTTGGCTATTGTGAATAGTGCTGCAATAAACATGGGCGTGCAGGTGCCTCTGGAGTCACAGTCTTTTGGGTATATCTCCAAGAGTGGTATTGCTGGATCATATGGTAGATCAATGTTTAGCTTATTAAGTGGCCTCCAAATTTTTTTCCAGAGTGGCTGTACTAGTTTACATTCCCACCAGCAGTGTAAGAGGGTTACTTTTTCCCCGCATCCTCGCCAACACCTGTTGTTAGTGGTGTTGTTAATGATGGCTATTCTAAGAGGATCCAGATATGAAGCCACACAACTATGAGCAACTTATCTTTGACAAAGGAGCTAAAAATATACGATGGAGAAATAGCAGCCTCTTCAACAAAAACTGCTGGGAAAACTGGTTAGCAGTCTGCAAAAAACTGAAACTAGATCCATGTATATCACCCTATACCAAGATTAACTCAAAATGGATCAAGGATCTTAATATCAGACCCCAAACTCTTAAGTTGATACAAGAAAGAGTAGGAAATACTCTGGAGTTAGTAGGTATAGGTAAGAACTTTCTCAATGAAACCCCAGCAGCACAGCAACTAAGAGATAGCATAGATAAATGGGACCTCATAAAACTAAAAAGCTTCTGTTCATCAAAAGAAATGGTCTCTAAACTGAAGAGAACACCCACAGAGTGGGAGAAAATATTTGCCAATTATACATCAGACAAAGAACTGATAACCAGAATATACAGGGAACTTAAAAAACTAAATTCTCCCAAAACTAATGAACCAATAAAGAAATGGGCACGTGAACTAAACAGAACTTTCTCAAAAGAAGAAATTCAAATGGCCAGAAAAACACATGAAAAAATGCCTCCATCTCTAGCAATAAAGGAAATGCAAATTAAAACCACACTAAGATTCCACCTCACCCCTGTTAGAATAGCCATCATCAGCAACACCACCAACAACAGGTGTTGGCGAGGATGCGGGGAAAAAGGAACCCTCTTACACTGTTGGTGGGAATGTAGACTAGTACAACCACTCTGGAAAAAAATTTGGAGGCTACTTAAAAAGCTGGACATCGATCTACCATTTGATCCAGCAATACCACTCTTGGGGATATACCCAAAAGACTGTTACTCCAGAGGCACCTGCACATCCATGTTTATTGCGGCACTATTCACAATAGCCAAGTTATGGAAACAGCCAAGATGCCCCACCACTGACGAATGGATTAAGAAAATGTGGTATCTATACACAATGGAATTTTATGCAGCCATGAAGAAGAACGAAATGTTATCATTCGCTGGTAAATGGATGGAATTGGAGAACATCATTCTGAGTGAGGTTAGCCTGGCCAAAAGACCAAAAATCGTATGTTCTCCCTCATATGTGGACATTAGATCAAGGGCAAACACAACAAGGGGATTGGACTATGAGCACATGATAAAAGCGAGAGCACACAAGGGAGGGGTGAGGATAGGTAAGACACCTAAAAAACTAGCTAGCATTTGTTGCCCTTAATGCAGAGAAACTAAAGCAGATACCTTAAAGCAACTGAGGCCAATAGGAAAAGGGGACCAGGACTAGAGAAAAGGTGAGATCAAAAAGAATTAACCTAGAAGGTAACACCCACGCACAGGAAATCAATGTGAGTCAATGCCCTGTATAGCTATCCTTATCTCAACCAGCAAAACCCCTTGTTCCTTCCTATTATTGCTTATACTCTCTCTACAACAAAATTAGAATAAGGGCAAAATAGTTTCTGCTGGGTATTGAGGGGGGGCGGAGGGGGGAGTGGGTGGTAAGGGAGGGGGTGGGGGCAGGGGGGAGAAATGAACCAAGCCTTGTATGCACATATGAATAATAAAAGAAAAATGAAAAAAAAAATGATGGCTATTCTAATAGGGGTGAGGTGTAATCTCACCCCTTTATTTTATTTTTTATTGCTAGAGATGGTGAGCCTTTTTTCATTTGGTTTTTGGCCATTTGAATTTCTTCTTTTGAGAAAGTTCTGTTTAGTTCACTTGCTCATTTCTTTATTGGTTCATTAATTTTGGGAGAATTTAGTTTTTTAAGTTCCCTATATATTCTGGTTATCAGTCCTTTGTCTGATGTATAGCTGGCAAATATTTTCTCCCACTCTGTGGGTGTTCTCTTCAGTTTAGAGACCATTTCTTTTATTGAGCAGAAGCTTTTTAGTTTTATGAAGTCCTATTTATCTATGCTATCTCTTAGTTGCTGTGCTGCTGGCCAACCTGACTTCTGGCCCCTAAGCTTCAGCACCTCATGTTGCTTCCCTTGGGAAATGAAGCACATCACAACCTTCGGCAGTAGACCTCACGCAAAATGACCAGCCTCCAGAATGAAATGTGAATAGTGAACAAAGGCTGGATCTCCTCTGGCATTTTCCAGACTCTTACACATCCTTCTTCAGTTCTCTAAATCTCTAGGGCTCTTTGGATTCTGGAACTGAATGATTATGCTTGCTACTCCTTTCACTTTGACTTCAAAGCAGCACATCACTTAGTCATCTTCAGCTATCTGCAAAGGAAGGAACTGAGCCTCATAAAATAACTGCCATAGTCCTTCAAAAAGGTACAGTATAGCCAGCATCTGATTTCTGCCTAGCTCATAGCAGGTATGCTTTAAATATACTGTTGTTGAGGAAACCAAACCTTTTAGGTCCCCAACCTGGGCTTAGGTAGCCTCTGAGTCCCTGCACATGATGGGTAGTAAGAAAGCCACTGTGTCTCTGAATATCCTTGGGCTACTGCAATACACTTTATCAAAGTACATGGTAAGAATACTCCCCCACACTCACAACATACTGTACTCCAACAGGAGAGTTATGATTTCATGCAGAATTCTAGGGAGGGAGTTTATCTGCTTCTCACCAGAGAATCTCTTAATGAGTAGTAGAAGTACGAAAGCCCATAGGGCACAAAACCTCCACAGGGAAGTTTTTTAGTAACTATTAATCAATCAATAACCTTTTTCCAAAAAGAAGCAGAGATATATAATATTATTTTTTCCCCAAATACTATCTCAGAAAGAACTACTATACCAGTCCTTGGAGTTTAAGCCATAGGCTCACAAACTTTCAAAGTCATCCTCACCCCACTCCAGGTAAAATGGCAGTAGTGAATGAAACCAATAGCTAATTCTTGCTACTTAAAGCAGGAACAATTGCAAGTGCAGCTTCTTTGCTATGGCCATCTGGGAGGAGCTGATAAGGATGAAGCCCACTGTCATTCACTAGAAAAGGACTGTTGAATTTACCAGAGCTCACAAGTCACTCTTAAAGGCATAATCCACTTCAGGAAAAAATGAAAAAGTTAAAGATACAATTAAAATACCACTTTAAAAATCAAAGCAAAATGAATAATTAGTGACAATCATTATAACGTTTGGTTAATATAAGCATTTATTTATTTATTCATTCATTTATTTTATTTATTTATTTATTTTATTTTTGAGACAGGGTCTTACTATGTAGCTCTGGCTGGCCTCGAACTCATGATCCTCCTGCCTCAGCCTTCTGAGTGCTGGGATTCCAGGTGCATGTCAAATTATTTGAGTGCTCATTTCTCCATGGTCCAAAGAAGATACTGGACTTAAAAGATGGATGGTCAAGGGTATCGACTGCAGGACCAACTGAAGCATCCCCTAGCGGTTGTTAATTGAATACATCTAGGCACAGCCATACAACGAATCCTCTGCAGTCATGAAAAGATGGCACTGACTGTTTATGTGCCAACATAAGGTCAAAAGACAAGAAAAAATTATGGCAAAATGTGTATGTGCATTTGGGCCTTCCTCTGTGGAGCGTTATCACAGAATCCCTGAGATTCTCAGAGACCTATGGATCTGCTTCTCAGAGGCAGAAATCTGCATCTTGAAGAAGCTCCATGGTAACCCCCTGGAGTTAAGGACCACTTTTAGGGGGTTGGGCAAGGAGACAGAAGAACGGAAGTCTAGCTTGTCCTATGCCTGACCCTGCACAGCTGGACAAACATGATTCTCAGGGATGATATTTTTCCCTCTAGAAGGGAATCAGACAAACTTGCTGCCTCACAGCCCTCCCATGGGGAGCATGAACAGAATGGTGCCAGTGCAACAGAGGTCCCAGGGAGGTACCACACTAGTAATATAGTGTAGCTTCTGAGAAAGTCATAGGTAAATCAATGTTCATAATGAAAAGAAAAGGATTAGTAACTTACTTCATTTTGGTCAAAGGCCATGATTAAAGGTGTACCTTCTAGGTTACTTACCTGTCAACTTCCTCTTTGGTCATTGCAGCAAAGGTAAAACACTCAGTTACTCCATTGATGGCAAGCAGTAAGACATAAAGACAGTAGAAACGCAGCAAAACAGGACCTATAAGGAAATAATCCACAGAGACTCAAGAGTCCAAATAGGAGATTCAGAGAACACCAGAACTGGGTCATAGAACCTGCTGGTATCAAGGAGCAGACTGCATTCCCATTACTGGAGGATTCAAGCATTCCATGGCACTGACTAAAATAATCAGCTAAAAACAAAAGAATAGTTATGAATAAATGTACAGATCTCTTGCTGAACAACTAAAAGCTTATCTGGCCAGCTAGCAAATCTGCCCACTTTTAAAATCAGCATGAAAAGGCCAGCTATGAGCACTCAAAGACACCTTGCATATTAAGAGAATCTCAGGTGAGCAGTTCCAAAGAAAAAAACCTTCAGGAACAGCCCAGGGCCCAGGACAAGCAGGCAATTACTGAGACAGAATACTCACAATACACAGTGAGAACCAGAGCCCCTAATGTTGTACTTTCTTCTAAAACAAAGTGATAGAGTTCTATAGCTAATAATAAGCTTTGGAAAAATATGAAGACCAGAGAATAAGAGCCTTACCAATGGGATTAATCCCTTATTTTAAGAGGACTATTATCAAAGAATGGACAAGCAGTTTCTAATAAACCAAAACTTCATCTAACCTAGGATCCAGCAATTTCACCTTAGGTGTACATCCAACAGAAATGGATGCATATGTTAACAAAAATACTGTTACAATAACATCTGTAGTGACTTTACTCATAATAGTCTAAACCGACCATCAATAAAAGAAATGATAAACCATGGGGCATCCATTCAAAGGAATACTTTTCAACAAGAAAAGAGAAAAAAAAAACAAAACCCTACTGATCATGCATGGATGAATCTCAAAAACATTACATTGAAGGAAAGAAGCCAGACCCAAAGTATACACACTGTATAATTTCCCTGACCTGAAATTCTTTTAAAAAGCAATACTATGTACAATATATGTATATACGGAAATGTCACAATGAAACCCCCCATACAACTATCATATACTAATAAAAATGTTTTGAAAAAATAAAAGCAATCCTATGGCTGAGGATGAAGCTCAGTGATAGAGAGCACTTGCCTAACATGAGCAAAGCCCTGATGCAGCACCTCCAAAAAAACAAAAAACTAATCTATGGCAATAGAAATCAAAACAGTGATTGCCTCTGATGAAAGGGGGCAGTAGTGGACTGGGAAGGGTCCTGGGACTTTCTGGGCATAATGGAAATGTTCTATATCTGCATCTGGATGGTAGTTACATTGAGTATATGTATTTGTCAAAACTCATCAAACTGTACTCTTAAGAGAACAGTGTTTTACTTCATGTAAATTATGCATCAGTAAAGAAAAAAACTTAGCCACTGAAAGAAAAGGGAGACTGAAGTTCTCAGTCTCAGAATTTTTAACTCATACAGGGTTATGAAAGCTGTTTAATATGAAAGGGCTCTGTGCTGTGGGACTCTTATCCTGCATTATGACAGCCACAAAATTACAAAAGGAACACTAATAGGGCAGCCATTTTGAGGCCAGCTTGGGCTACATAGTGAATTCAAGGCTAGCTGAAGTTACATAGCAAGACTGTCTCAAAAAAACCAAGCGCTGCTGGGCACCAGTGGCTCACATCTGTAATACTAGCTACTCAGGAGGCAAAAATCAGGAGGATCAGAGTTTGATGCCAGCCTGAGCAAATAGTTTGTGATATCCTATCAAAAATACTCAACACAAAAAAGGGCTGGCAGAGTGGCTCAAGCAGAGTTCCTGCCAAGCAAGTGTGAGGCCCTGAGTTCAAACCCTAGTACAGAAAAAAAGGTTGGGATTGTAGCTCAAAGTTACAGCAATTGCTTAGCATGCCCAAGGCCCTGGGCCCTGGGTTCAATATGAAGCACCTCACAAAAACAAAACAAAACAAAAACTTCTAAAGTGCTGGGGCTGAGGTTGGAGATGTAGCTCGGTGGTAAAGTGCATGCTCAGCATTTGCAAGGGTCTGGGTTTAATTCTCAGCCCCTAAATAAGTAAATAAAGTGATAGGCTGAGCTATGGAGAGTTGCTATTTTTTCCTGATTAGTCCAGGAAGTCTTTTTGGACAAAGTCAAGTTTAGCAAAGTATTTAGGTGATCAAAAAATATTGTTGGGGTGGGTTGGGGGACAGCAGTGGTGTTTGTGTTTCCTGGCACAGTAAAAGCATTTGGATACATAGCACTAGTCCAGTGAGACAGGGGTGAGCAAGGAGAGGAGAGGTGGTGTGGAACCGGGGAAGCCAGCAGGCACCATGTAGAGAGGCACTGACCCTACCCAGAAGCCAAAGGGTTTTACAGAGAGTGGAAGTTTGGTCAGAGTGAGAGGCAACAATAACTTGGAAACAAATGCTAAAAGACCCTGCCAGGGCACAGCTAGTGAGGCCCTGAACCAAGTAAGAGAAGACAACGGTCCTGAAGACAATGCAGTAACATATGAAACCACACATGCTTTCAAGAAACAGAAATCAGAACCATTCTCAAGACACTGCTCTCTGAAGATGAGAGCACTTTTTGAGTCTAAAATTAATGAACTCAGAACACTTTACCTTAGAACTTAATCAACTCTGACATTTTAATTGATAAATTATCAATGCTCAAAACAGCATTAGCACCTCACTTGAATAAAAGGACAACATAATCACAGTAGTATTTCTCCTATGATTAATTACTCTGCCAGGTGAACACTGTTATAATAGGACAGCCCCTCTTGGCAACCTCCTGTGATTCTGTTGTAGTAGAGACTGTTCCTTGGTGACTGTTTTCTAAAGGGGCAGAGCTTCTAGGAAACAGTTGAGTCCCCAGTCTCTGCACATAAACTTACTAATGGCTTCCTAATGAGGCTTCCCTGCAGTTGCCTGATGAAAATGTTCTTCTCACACCACAAGCCCCAGGGAGCTGCAAACCACTTCATTGGCTTCACAGCAGGTGTTTCTCCAAACTTAATGACCTTTGCTGTTGTGTAGAAACTTGGCCCTTCTTTCTCTAATACCAAAAGTCTGAGTCCCATTATAATGGAGACTAAAACATGCCATTGTAAAATGGCATTGACAACATCCTTTATATTGAGATGAGACAACAGTCTTTCAGGTTCTTGTCTAGTGACCTGAGGAATTAAAAACACCTTTGCTAAACCCAAGATAAAATACTGCAAATGGACTGTCAGCCCACAGCACAGCATATTTTCAGACTGAAGTCCCTAAGCAAGGCAGTGAGATTCTCAGTGGCCTGGGCATGAGGCATTTCAGTATTAGACACTTTCAATACTTTTAAAAAACCAAAAGTCAGTGGATTAAATATACCATTTTATTTGTTGAGAACAATTTTATTCTCAGCAAATGACTCTGGGTTATCCTTCAGAGGTTTTTTTGCATCAGGTCTTGAGACTCATGTGGCATTTACTATCCTCAGATGTGTTTAGTACTAAGTGGAGACTCATTAGAGCCTGCTCTCTGTCTTCCTCCCTCACTCCAGAGGGAACTTGGGCAAATGCTTGGCAAAACACACTTTTGGCCTGAAACAAAAGCCAACAGCGGGGAGGATTTGTGACAACGACTTCAAGTGAAGTTGGGAGCTGTTCACCCTGGTGCAACCCTCTGACTATACCCTAAATGTGTGTTGGTCTAAGTGAGAGAATAGTCCCACAGCCCCAGATACCTGGCAATTCTCCCTGCACTGATACAGAGGTCAACTATGGGTGCACATGTTCTTGAATTTCCTAAGACTCTTCTATTTCTGTTTAGAAGTTAGAGTAAATCCAGCAAAACTCTAGAGCATACCTGATCCCGAGCTAAGCATGGTCCCTCCATAGATATCCAGAGCCAGCTGAGAATAGGCAAAGCCAAAAACAGTGATGGTCAGGCCAGCCAGCAGGGCCAGCTTGAGTAGGGACTCCAAAACCACAGCAGCCATGGTGACATCCTCCTGAGCCAGGGGGAAAGGGAAGAAAGTTGGATGAATCATGAGCTGAGGAACACCCTCATCTCTGGACTTCTCTCTACTGTTTTATAGCTCACTCTTCCAGCTGAGTGAAGACCTCACTGCTTTTCTGTGGTTTGTATTTGTTTTTATGATAATTAGCAAATGAAGGAAAAAAAAAATAGGGCATGTTTCCTTAGGCTGTGAGGGGCAGATTTAGTTTTCAACTCATTTAGAATAAATTGTTTCAAATACTGCTTAGGAAACACTTTGCTCTCTTGATACTTGAATGGAGCAGCAAACTTTCATCTATCTATGCTAGCCAGCTTTCTGCTTCTCCTGACAAATGTCTCAAAATTCTGATGTTACTTTCATTGTATACTTAGGAAGATATTCCTAAATCATTTTGAGATATACATGAACTATATTTTGTGAAATATCTTCTAAGACATGTAAGAGGTGAACCTAGCTTGCTTTTAATTTTAGTAAAAGCCAGGCATTTTCAGTGGTTTTAGAAAAAGCAGTTTCTATGACCAAATGCTCCTGGATTAAAATCTCTTCTTCTGTATTGACCAACTGCAGTACATACATTCTCAGGGTCAGAATGTAGCCCTGGGCATGGCAAAGTCATGCTAAAAAGCTTAAAGGATTGGTGCAGCGAGCAAAACCTGAAAACCACATCATTTCTTCCCCATCCCTTGCTCAACATCCTCTGGTTCTTGAGAAGCTGAGGATAGGAGACACTACCTCATTCTTATGCCTAGGGCTAGGCCATGGGAGGTCATTTGTGCTGTACTCTGGACAGCTCTGAGAGGGCTGGGCCAAGAGTAAATTCATATAGAAGGACAAAGGAGTGAGACAAAAGGGACAGCAAGAGGAAAAAGGGTAAAGGTCATAAAACAGCAGTGAACTCTGGGTCCTGCCATTAGTCAGAATGTGATATAGGAATGAAATCTAAAAGAAAATTGCAGATCAAACAGAAGGGAAACAGACTGTTCCACATTTGTTTGTCTTGCAATTGGAGGGAGGTTCACTTGAGAGATGATAACATGAGAACCAAGACTACCTGCTTCTGAAGTGTGGTACCCTTTTCCCTCTCCAGCACCTTAGCAAAGAATATATAAAAACTCTCCTCTATTGGCTGGAAAATTAACCTGGCCACAAGGGAGCCAAGATTATTCACTATATCATATACACCTACAAAACAAAAAGGAAGAAACAATAATCATATTAGTTTTGCAATTTTCAATTTTACAGCACTTATATTAAAATTATTTTTTAATGTAATGTTTAATTTAAAATGTTAAAAAAATGTTTAGGCTAGGCACTGGTGGCTTACAAGTTGGGATTGGGAGAATCACAGTTTGAGGCCTGCCAGTCAAAATTTTGTGAGACACTAACTCAATGGAAAAAAATTGGGTGTGGTGGCATGTACCTATCATTGCAGTGATGGCTAGAAGCCATCCTGGGTAAAAAATGTGAGCTCTTAATAACCAGAACAAAAATGACTGGAGTTGTGGCTCAAGCAGTAGAGCATCTGTCTAGCAACTATGGAGCCCTGAGTTCAAATCCCAGTACTACCAAAAAATGTTTACAGTTAGGAGGAGGCATGGCTCAAGTAGTAGGGACACCTGTCTAGCAAGCACAAGGCCCTGAGTTCAAATCCAGTACTGCCAAAATTTAAAAAGTTTAAACCTTGAGAAAAATGTAGATTCCACACATGTAGAAATTGAGATCCCATGTACCCTTTACCCACTTTCCCTAAATGCTAATATGTTGCAAAAACTATAGCATACAACCAGCATACTGACACTGACATGGTCAAGATACTTTTATTACTAGCATTTTTAAAATAACAGTCATCTACACAAAATTGTATTTTAACTTTCATTACTTTGGTATTATTTTAAAAATAAATGTGAAAAAAATTGAGAAAGCCTCATCTCACAAAGGTACCTTTGTGACTGTGAGGGTGAGCCTCTTTTCTTCTCTCCTAGCACACCCCCATCCCTCCAAATAAGCACCAGAGCTCTGTAGGATGCAGGGTAGAGAGTGCGGGTCCTAACAAGAACCTGCCACTCCAGCCACACAAGAGGGCATAGTCAATATACTGCATACATTTACAAAAACCTACAATTTACAATCTTCAGAATTCATTTTTATACTATCTGCATTTCTTATAACCTTCAAGTTTTTCATTAAATGTATTAAAATACAGAGAAAAATATTAAGATCTATTAATAGCATCGGCCTTTAATTAAAATACTACAGAATTTCATCTTACCCTGATCGCCAAAATTTAATACATTCAAAAATGTCATCACATATCGCTCGCCTAAAAAAAATGGAAAAGCAAAATAATCAGCACGTTAAGTTATTGTTCCCTTTTCTCTTACCATCTATCAACTTTTTCAACTGATAAATTCATTCTCTCTCTCCCCGCCTCCCTCTCTCTCTCTCTCTCTCTCTTTCTCTCTCTCTCTCTCTCCCTCCCTTCCCTCCCCCACTCTGGTTTTTTGAGACAGGGTCTCCCAATCTAGTCTCAAACTTATGATCCTCCTGCCTCATCCCTCCCAAGCGTTAGAATTACAGATGTGTACCACTATACCTGGCTCCAGTTGAAAAATACACTCAAAGGAGAAAAAGCAGATAATCAATTGAAGACATGTTCCTGGTCCTAACGCTGATCTCACAATAATAATTTGGAAAGTATTGAGAGCTTTATTGATAGGAAGTTTACAAGTCAGTTAAATTTAAAGGAAACAAACAAATCAATAAAACCAGTCTAATAAGTTAAAAATAAGGGATGATTACTAAAATGTTAATAATGAAAATGGTTGTCCAAGTTTTAAGGGAGGTCAGATACTCACAGTGTGAACTTCCTGTGACAGGAAATGTCCATGATGTGGGCATAGGCTTGTTCAAGTCTTTCTCTGGTGGAGAAAGCTCCCTGGGAGCTAGCTGGCAAGGCTCTGGAGCTCAGTTTATCACTCAAATCTAACTTGGTCTAATGCACTCAAAATGCAGACAGCAGCCTAAACACCCACCCCTACCTCCTATCCTCACAATACTTCCACAAATTTTCTTATCCATGAATGAAAATCACTGACTACTACAGAGATAGAGCACTGAACAATGCCCACAGCCCCAAAGGGCAAACCCTCATCTACTAGCAATCTATTCAAAAAGGAAAGCATTAAGAGGCCAGATTTCATCTTTCTTAAGATTCTCTCCTCTCTCTGATCTTGTCTCCTTATAAGACAAGTATGTATGGCAGGGACCTCTGTAGGTCCTCCCAGGCCAGTATCTTTGTGTTGCTCCAATCCAGTTCCAGTTTTTGCAAATACAGTCAGCCCTCCATCTAGGGGTTCATGCATCTGAAGATTCAACCAACTGCAGATCAAAAACATTTGGAAAAAAAAACTGCATCTGAACTGAGTATGTACAGTCTTTTTTTTCTTAATAATACTCCCTACCCAAAACAAAATAACAGTGACATATCACATTTACATTGCATTAGCTATTATAAGTAATCTAGAAATTATTTAAATCATACAGAAGAATATGCTTAGGTTATATGCAAATATTAAGCCATTTTAATAAGAGACTTGAGCATCCTTAAATTTTAATAATCAGGATTGGTCCTGGAACCAATTCCCTGGGTATCAAGAGATGACTGTACAGTCTTTCATACCTCCAAATGGCTCAATTAATGTTTGCATAAAGTCCAGGCTCCTTCATTCTGTATTTGAGGGCTTTTATACATTGACTTCAAGCTATCTTTTGACCTCTCTTCACCAACCTCACCCCATCACATTGTCATCTTTCGCTATACCCTACCTTCTTGGGTTTAGCCCTCTACCTGCTCCAAGTCAGGTTGGACCTGTTGTGGCATCCTCCCCACCTACAATGGCTTTTCTGCATAGCCCTCCTGTCTTCTGGCAGAATAAGACTCTCATTCACATTCTGTAAGCTTCCTGAAGGCAGGACACCCCTCCCAGTCATTCTGTCCCTTCTTAGCAGGGTTCCAGGAAACTGTGTTAACATTTCCCAGTACTTCACCATAGTCTTGTAACAACCACCCAATGTCTGTGACTTTGGTATGAGTATGAGCTTCTTGAGGCCACAGCCTGCTTTTCATCTCTATTCTCAGCACCTGGCACACAGCGTGCAGGAAATGTGGGCAGAAGGGAAGAGCTAACATATTTTTTACTACCACAAAAAATGATTTCAACTTTTTGTTTTAGAACTATAGCTTTTAAAGATAAAAGAATCTCGGGGGTCCTGGTCAGGCCACTTCCTTATTTCCCTGCCATGGAGATCGAAGCCCTGAGAAGTTCCTAATGGCCTTCTGCCAGTCAAGCAACCAGGCCAGGAAGACCCAACTATGGAGCAAGCACTGGCATTAAATTTAGGCCAAGCTCAGGAGGCTTTAGTGAGTGGCTAACTTAAACCTGCTGTTGAAAACACATGTCTAGCAACTGTAATCCAGAAAACTAGTTGAGAGACATATTTGGATTGGATCCATTCCCTTAAACTCATTAAAACTTCCCTTAAAAGTTTGGGAGGAAATAGAGTGGTGTGGCTCAAGTGGTACCTGCCTAGCAAACTGTGGCCTTGAGTTCAAGCCCCAGTTCTGTAAACAAAACAAAACAAAAACATTTTTGAGAGGAAAAAGAGAGCATATATACAATATCCTTTCTAAAACTTCCTCCATTGATTTTCCTTTTCTAACAACAATGTTAACAATCATAATGTACAATTTCATTAGTTACCTTCTATTGTTGCTTTTCTTACTCTATCAATAAATACTTGCTGAATGCTTATCATGTGCCAGGCCCAGCAGGGAGACAGAGGTAAATGGCATATTCCCTGCACTGTAGGAACTTATACCTCAGTTCTTGTAACTTAGCTCTCCCAAGGCTTCTGACCCAGAAGTCTCCTGAACAATTTCATTTTAGGGGCAAAGTTAAGGCTCAGGCTAAAGCATGTAAATACCTCCTGGTTCTCTTTCTCACTTAATAGATGAAGAAAGTAAGGCACAGGGCAAATTACTTTCCTTTGGAGACATGATTAGCAAAAAATAAAGATGATGGAAATAACAAGATAATAATAAGGGTGATTGTATTAGGATGCTAGGACTACAGAGAACTTTATTCCATTTTCCGGGATTTTTATGATGAGGTTATACTACTTTTATAATTAAAAGATAATTTTGGGGACTGGAGGTATTCAAACGGTAAAACACTTGCTACCAAGCGTGAGGTCCTGAGTTCAAACCCCAGTATCACACAAGAAATAAATAAGCAAATAAAAAGATAATTTTGAAGAGATTAAAAAATATGTTCATGGGCTACTAGAGTGGCTCAAGTGGTAGAGAGCCTGCCTAGCAATGTGAGGCCCTGAGTTCAAATCCCAGTACCACAAAATTTGTTCAGTAATACAGATACAGATGTATCAACATACAGATGTATTATATAGAAACCACTACCTTTAGCAGCTTATAGCTGCATCCCAATCTCATTCTCTGAATTTAAGCTAGGTGAAAATAAACCAACACATGAATGTATAAAACTAGATGTAGCTTCTTCTCTGTAAAAACACCAAATGGTGGATGAAGCCAGTGCAGTAGAGCCCTGAGGCCCTGGGGACCCAGGCAGCATCCATGAAGGCTTTGGCAGTGGCCTACAGGGCCTTCATTATGGCTGTGGTTGGGATGAGGCAGAGGCCAAACATATGAAGTGGATCCCCATCACCAAGCTGGGCCACCTGGTCAAGGACAAAAGATCAAGTCCTTGGAGGAGACCTATCTGTTCTCCCTGCCCATCAAGGTGTCTGAGATAATACTGACTTTTTCCTGGGGGCATCCTTAAGGATGAGGTTTTGAAGATCATGCCAGTGCAGAAGCAGACACTGGCTAGAGGACTGGGTTTAAGAATTTGTCACCACTGGAGACTATCATGGTTACATTGGCCTGGGCATTAAGTACTCTAAGGGGGTAGCCACTGCCACCCAAGTGGCCATGATTTTGGCTAAGTTCTCCATTGTCCCTATGCTGAGAGGCTATGAGGGAACAAGATTGGCAAGCCTCACACTGTCTCATGCAAGATGACAGGCCACTGTAGTCTTGTGCTAGTATGCCTCATCCCTGCTTCCTGTGGCACGGGCACTGTCTTAGCTCCTGGCCCCAAAAAGCTGCTGCTAATGGCCTGTACACTTTGGCCAGGAGCTGCACTGCCATCTGGTCAACTTTACCAAGGCCGCCTTTGTTGCCATCTTTAAGACCTATAGCTATCTGACTAGCCTCTGGAAAGAGACCATGTTCACCAAGTCTCCCTATCAATAATTCATTGACCATCTTGTGGAAATCCACACGAGAGTCTCCATGCAGAAGACCCAGATTATAACACAGGATTATATACAAGAAAAATAAAGTGAATTAAAAACTTGTTAAACAAACAAAACTAAATGTCAAATCAGGTGTGATGGTACATGCCTATAATCTCAGTAGTCAGGAAGTGGAGACAGGAGGATCAAGAATTCAAGGCCAGCCTGGGCTACACAATGAGACCCAATCTCAAAAAAACAAAAACAAACAAACAAAAATCTAGATGTACTTTCAACTCCCTGCTGGGACTTTATCAGAAGATCTGTTAGAGTTGTTAAACTAGAAGAACAGAAGTCAGAAATCTGACCAAATTATCACACAGGTCTATATTGTTGTTTTAAGAAAATAAAATGATGAGCCAGGTGCTGGTGGCCTATAATCCTAGCTACTCGGGAGACAGAGATCAGGAGGATCACAGTCTGAAGCCAACCCAGGCAAAGTTTTCCAGACCCTATCTCGAAAAAACCCAACACAAAAAAAGGGCTGGTGGAATAGCTCAAGGTGCACGCCCTGAGTTCAAGGCCCGGTACCACAAAAATAAATAAATAAACAAATAAAATAAAATGATGACCTGGATCTTAAAACACTTGAAAACAAGAAGAAAATATACAAAAGTTAAGATATGGATAGTTTTATCTACCAAGTTTTTGTGCTTGATATAATATTTTTATAACATATTTATTAAAATGATATAATATGTGGTTTTACAGTTAGATTTTGCTGTAGTTTGGGTCTTTATCAAAGTGTTTCAAAGTGTCCCCCACAGATCTGCATGTTGAAGGTTTGGTTGCAAGTCCATGACACTATTGGGAAGAGGTAGAACCTTTAGGAGGGGACTAGTTTAAGGAAGTTAGGTCCCCTTTTAAAGAGATATTGGAACCCCAGTCCCTTTCAATCTCTGTCTCTCTCTCTTTTTTTTTGAGGTACTGGGGCTTGAACTCAGGGCCTAAATCTTGAGCCACTCCACCAGCCCTTTTTGTGATGGGTATTTTCGAGAAAGGGTCTCCCAAACTATTTGCCCAGGCTGGCTTCAAACCGCTATCCTCCTCATCTCCTGAGAAGCTAGGATTATAGGCCACTAGCGCCTGGCCCTTTCAGTCTCTTTCTGCTTCCAGTTGCAATGAGGTGAACAAGCTTCCTCTGCCACATGCTTACACCATGCTATATTGTGCTGCCACAAGCCTAAAACAGCGTGAGTAAGTGACCATGGACTGAAACCTCTGAAACAGTGAACCAAAATAAACATTTCTTCCTTTTAAAGTTGATTATCTCAGGTACTTTTGTCACAGTAACAGAAAGCTGACTGACACAAACATGAATTCCAATTAAGCTGTTCCTCATTACTGTAGAACCCTGAAGAAACATCCTCAGTATCCTCATCCATAATAAAGGGGGAGATATCTTTTATAAGGCTATGAAGAAATTTGAATTAGTCAACTTAGGGCTGGTAGAGTGGCTCAAGTGGTATAGCATCTGCCTAGCAAGTGTAAGGCCCTGAGTTCAAACTCCAGTACCAAAAAAAAAAAAATTAGTCAACTTAAACATAGCTAAATAATAAATGTTGGTCTTCTTTTCCTTATTTAAAAACAAAATCAAAAACATTTCTGAGGGTCTTCTCCCAAGAGGGCTGCAGACAGGTGGTCTGGATTCAAGGTTAATTAGCAGTTCTTTGAAATATCTTCACTTGGACTATTATCTCATGACTGCTCAGAGTGACCTTTTACTTACCTTCTGTCAAAATCTGTTTTAAGAAAGACTGTTTGAAAAAACTCCAAGTCAATTTAGCTTCTTTCCAATTTATAAAAGCCTAGAAGAGAAAACAAAAAAAGCAAAGAAACACACACACACAAAGCTAAGAAAATAATGCTACATGAAAAGCAAACCCATTTTGGTCCCTAATCCCCAACTTGAATTGTCCCCTCATTTAATGGTAAGCACAAGAAGGTATCCAAAAATAGTAGGAAAGAATTTGTATTATGAATATAGTTTGGATCTTGACTATCCTCCAAAGGCCATGTGTTGAAACCTTGGACCCCAAAGAGAATCTATTGAGAGTAGTAGAAACTTTAAGAGGTAGTCCTAAGCTAGGCTACTTAGGAGGCTGAGATAGGGATGATGATGGTGTGAGGATAGCCAGGGCAAAAACCTTATGAGACCCCATCTCAATGGAAAAAACCTGGGCATAATAGCACACACCCATCTTCTCAGTGATGACAAGTGTAAGCCCTGAGCTCAAACCCAGTATTGCCCCCTCCCAAAAAAAAAGGAGAGAGAGGGAGAGAGAAACAGAGAGAGACAGAGAGAAAGAAAGAAAGAGAGAGACAGAGAGAGAGAGAGAGAGAGAGAGAGAGAGAGAGAGAGAGAGAGAGAGAGAGAAAGAACTTAGTGTGAGGTATTTAGGTCATCCCTTGAGGGGAACTGTGATATTCTAGCCCCTTCCTCTTCTTCCTCTCTTTTGTTTCCCAGTCATGAAGTATGCTGTTTTGCTCTACCTATGCTTCTGCCATGATGTGCTACCTCCCCATAGAATCAAAGCATCATGACCAAGTGATCATGGATTGAAACCTCTAAAACTATGAGCCAACATAAACATCTTCTCTTTATAAGTTGTTTATCTCAAATATTTGTTATAGTAATAGAAAACTAACTTCCACAACTAGAAGACAAAATCTTGGGAAATGACCAGGATTCATGCATGAGTTCTCCTGAAGAACTGCTGCTGTCTCCTTGGAGGCCCAGTAAATACATTGACCACATCTAAAACATACAACTCACCCTTCCTCTTCCCTCCTTCCTTTTTTTTTTTTTTTTTTTGTGGCAGTACTGGAGTTTGAACTCAGAGCCTCCCACTTGCAGGCAGGTGCTCAACCATTTGAGCCACTCTGCTAACCCCTGTTTGTGTTGGTTATCTTTGAGGCAGCATCTTGTTTTATATACCCAGGGCCAGCCTGGACCACCACCCTCCCATATGTGTTTCCCTGCATAGCTGGATGTCAGGTATGAACCACTATGCCCAGCCATTGGTTGAGATGGGATCTTTCAAACCTGGCTGAAGCCACTGCATCTGGCCTAGTTCCTTTCTTAAAAAAAAAAAGTCTGGGCCTGGATGCATGGCTCAAGCCTGAGTCCACCCCCCAAAATAATATCTGAAGCATGCCAAGCTGCAGAACAAATTCTACCTTTTACCCAAGCTATATGAGGTACACTTACATAGTTTAAAAGAAATTCAGCCTTCCCAAGTCAGGTAAACCAGTCAGAATTGAAAGGAAAGGAAAAAAGCGAAGCTTCTAATATGGTTCTTCTGAAACTCCAAGGGAACACCAAATTGCCTACTTCCTAAGGACAAAGATAGTAAGAAGGAAGAAAACACTCAGGTAGGGTAGGTGGCCTCAAAGTCAAAAAGCTGACCATAAAATGGAAGATTGAGGTAGTCAGTTAACCTCCCCCAGTTCCCTCTGGGGGTCCCTCCTCTATCTCACAGGAATCCTGGGATTTTAGAAGTTAAGTCTAGATGCTGGATCCTTAATCCTAGGATATGTGCATTTTGTAAAGTTTTGATTATCTGAAGTGGTAACTTTTGAGTGGTAGAATTTCAATGGGCTCTTGGGTAAGGAGGAGTGAATCACAAAAGCCAAGTTCCTTTCACCTCTCCAAAAGCAGAGTCTTGGCTATAGGAGTGGGCTCAAGAGCAAGTCTAGAACATGCCCTGGTTACCTGGGCCTATGTTCTTGGCCCAAAGTTCATCTGTGTAGAGATGTGGCTCACACCTGTAATCCTAGCTGCTCAGGAGGCAGAGATCAGGAGGATTGAGGTTCAAAGTCAACCCTGGCAAATAGTTCTCAAGACCCTATCTCAAAAAAAAAAAACCCTTTGCAAAAAAGGGCTGGTGGAGTGGCTCAAGGTATAGGCCCTGAATTCAAGCCTCAGTACCAAAAAAAAAGAAAGAAAGAAATGTTATTCAGTAGAAACATTAAGTTTTCTAGTAGTCACAGTGAATAAGAAAAAGAAATAGTTGAAAATAATTTTAATATTTTTTTGAGACAGGGTCTTATTACATAGTCCAGGCTTACCTGGAACACATTATGCAGCCTAGGCTGGCCTCCAACTTGCAATCCTCCTATCTCAGCCTCCTGAGTGCTGGGATTATAGGCACATGCCACACACCCAACTAATTCTAATGTATTTTACTTAATCCCAAATATTATCCTTTTAACATGCAATCAATGTAAAAAAAAAAAAAACATGAGCAACGTTTCACACATTTTTCATACCAAATCTTTGAAATCCAGTATGTATTTCATCTCAATTCATACTAGCCACATTTCAAAATGCTTTAAAGCCACATGTCACTGGTGGCTAACATTTAGGACAGGGCAAGAAGCCTAGAGCACCTCTGGAAGCAAAACTTTCGGCCACCATTCCACTTCTGGGTTTCTGAAACTTTTCTTTAGACACCGGGAGGATAGACCTGAATCCTCCCAAACTGTGTTGCCTTCAGGGCATCACTGAACCTGGAGCACATGCCAGGGCAACTCTAGCCTTGCAATAAATCTTCCCCAGGTGAGGAAACTAGGCCACAAGATGTTGAAAACAGGCCACCTCCTTTCCCCAGAACAACGGGCACCTGACAATTTAACACCACTAGGGAGCACTGTAGACCACTTATCCTCTGATGCTGATTCTATTCACTGTCTGCACAGCACCTTTTCTCTTTCATACTGCTCCCTGCTTCCATACCATGGTAAACCTCTGAGGGGGTCTGTGCAGCAGTACCCGTGCTCTTTTCAAAGGAAACAAAAGTTTCAGCTTGTCCATGAGGCTCTTGTAGGTTGTGAATGAGTTTGGGCAGATGATCGAGCTCTTTGGGAAAGTGAAATCATGACAATGAATCAAATCTGAAAGCTCATGTTCAAGGATCCCTTTCTCCCAATACCTTCAATTTAAATGAGCCCATGTAATAGCCACATTGCTTACTAGTACCAACACGCTCATTAAGGTCGCATTGGTAGGAAGTCCAATCTGAGATTGGGGTTCTTCTAAAGGGTGTCTGCTAAGTAGTAGAAAAGAGGAAACAAATTCTGTGAACTTTTACCATTTTGTCCAGAATGGACTTGTTATTTGGGATAGTGAACAAGATCTATTTCACAAAGCTGTGTTGGTACTACTGAGTTGGTCTAAACAGACATGAATTTCTCTGGAATCTCCTAACAAGCCATTCCACAGCCTCACTATGTTGACAGAGAAACAGACTTTGCAGGTGAAAGTTGATGGGCAGTAACTCCAAAAAAGGTTTGGATCAGAGTTCAGAGGCTCATTCTGCTTTAACCTGAATCATTCTTCCATTTCCCAAACTCTTCTGACTCAGGATGATCTGAAAAGCTGCATCCTTGCCACACTGGTAAGTCGCTGAGGGCATGGTCCTGCTCCTGCCCTCCATCACCTCCACCACCACACACGGCATTCTTTCCTCTCACCTCCTCTTCTTATCCCAGCAGCTCCAGGCCATTGACTCTGCCCGACTTGTCAATCCTCCCATTTCCAGCCCCTCCCACTGTCTTCATCTCTTCTCACCTGGACAATTGCCACAGCTTCCTACTGACTTTTTTCACTTCTAAATTTTTCTTTAGTCCATCTTTCTCATTGTAGGTTCAAGTTTTAGTCATGCTTGGAGACTGGGGCTCAAACTACAGCTTGTTGACTTAGCCCAAAGGCACAGGCAAGATAGCTAACTTTGTTAAGCCTTGGTTTTCTCATCTGCAAAATGGGATAAGTCCTACCTTATGAAGCTGGTATGAGGATGAAATCAGAGAAAATGAGATACTGTAAATCTGTAATGGTAAGTTCCTTCACATAGGCAATTAGATCACGGTGCTATTCAAAAACCTTTTATTAGGCTCACTCCATTGTTCCTGAATTAAGCCCAAATTCCACAGCACTGTGGCCACTACTACCTAGCCCTTCCCCAGCAGGCCAGGTTCACCTCCCTCCCTAATCTCTGCCCATTTTTGTTTTCTCTCCCTCTCCCTGTCCAGTCAACCTAAGTATCCCAGTTATCTGTGCATTCTCAATTTCAGCACAATGAGGGGCACATAACAGGCTAAGCAAATTTTTTCCTTCACATGTTCACAAATGCCACCAGACATACATATTTTATTTCTTCTCACCTATGTATTGAGGTCCAGCTCAAAAGCAGCTTCCTCCATGAAGCCTTCATCTTCCTTGATACCCCTAAATAGAATTCACTAGTCCTTCCTCCATGCTTCTATTCTGATAGCACTAATTACACACTGTCTTCACTGTGAGCTGAGTACATCTGATCTCCCTACTACAATGCAAGTTCTGAGGACAGGTACTCCAACTCGGGGTACATGGTGCATTACTTAACATAGAATCAGGCTGAATATATGCTTGCTATGACAAATTCTCCAGCATTACTCAAATATTAGCATGTCTCTCATATTAATCACTCAGAAGCATCAAAAAATATAAAAGACAGTCATTACTTGATGTGTCACCACCTAAGGGAGCCCCAGGAGTCAAATTAAGAATATAGCCCATGGAAAAGTCACACACTGCACTGAAATCCATCTCATCTTTTTGCACTTTTAAAAATAATAAACCTGAATAATTGTTCTATCTGGAACTCCCAATGTTTAAGTAAATAACTATCATGGGCAATAAGCCAATTTCCTTTGGAAGCCTGCATAGCTTACAAATTAAACACACAGACTTAAAATTGGTCCACCGACAGAAAGCAGGTAGATGTGGGTCCAAAATGAGCTATGTGACTTGGGGTTAGTCACTTTTCTGGACTTCAGTTTTCTCATCTGTAAAATGGAGACAATAGGGAGAGGGGATAAAGGAGAAAAATGGAGGGGGAGAATCTAAGATATACTGTAAGCACTTTTATAAATGTAACAAAGTACCCCCAATACAACTGTAATATGCTAATAAATACTTTAAAAAACAAAAAATGAAGAAAATGAAGACAATAGTGTTTATCTCATAGGATTTGAGAAAGATTAAACAAAAAAATCCATAGAAAGTGCTTGGCACAGAGCATGTAATCAATGGCAGTTATTGCAAACTGCTCTTTTCAAGTCTAATATTTTCATAGAACTCCTGAAGTCTTCAAATGGGACTCATGGGTTATGTGAGCCAATAATCCAATAATCTCACTTTCAAAATAAAGACTGGAGCTAGGCATGGTGGCACATGCCTATGGTCCCAGCTACTCAGGAGGCAAGAAAATCACTTGAGACTAGGAGTTTGAGACCAGCCTGGGCACACACAAGACCTCATCTCAAAAAAAAAAAAAAAAAAAAAGAAAGAAAAGAAAAGACTCTGAGGTCTACAGAGAGAGCCCTTCAGGTTTCAGATTTATCCCTTTTGCCTCCCGAACCTACAGGGAACTCCCTGAGACCCAGAAATCACCTCCTCAGCATGTCTGTGTCCCAGATAGCTCCAAGCATGGGGACAACATCCTCAGGATTGAGGGCTCTGTCCCAGCAGTGCAGGCAGGGTACTTTCAGGGTAGATTGCCAGATTAAACAATGTTGGCCTTGCTGAGGCGCTCCAGCAGAGCTAGCTATGCTCTCAGAGTAGCAGTGTGAAGGTAGTGACAAGATCAACTATCACTTATGATATCCACTTGTGCCAGGCCACAGAATTAAGCACCTACATGCTCCATCTCATCAGGCTCTCAACATCAGGTGGGGTGGATTATTATTATTATCCCCATTTAACATATTATCCCCATTTCTTTTTTCCTCTCTACAGATTATCTTCATTTCTTTAAAGAAACTGAAGTTCAGAGATTTGAGTCCATGATAGTGTTTAATAAACAACTGGACAGACTCTTTTCATTACCTTCTCTCTTTTCTAGTATTAATAATCCAAAACACTGCTGGGCACAGGGTCTGGCCCACTATGAAAATATGGCCAGGCTTGGTGAAATTGAAACACTGGGAGCCCTCACAGGAGGAGGGACTTTTCCACACTCAGACCTGTTCTGTAAGCAGCTGGCAGAGCTCCAGGAAAAAGTGATCTAGAGTCCTAACCATCTAGGCCTGCAGATGCAGCACAGTGGTATCCAAAACTGTCATACTGATTTGGGTTAGGTAAGGGACAGCTGATCAGAATGGATAAATCTTTGTTAACAACTGAGAATATATCTGGCTTTGACAAAAAATATCTAGTTTTTATTGAAAAGCTGTGTAACAGGATTCCACAAGTTCTGAGACTTAAGTGCCACATATTTAGCTATTTTATCAAGTAATCACAAAAGAGGAATAAGGAGAAGTCCAGTGGTGCCTTTCCACAAGAAGTAAACCACCATCTAGCAAGCAAACAAGCATGAAGAAAAGGGAACGTGCCCAGGAGGAGCAGTTCACAGCACACCTGAGAGAAGGCAGTGTGATTTATCATCTGTGTATGACTCCAGGCCATGGACAGCAGCACAGACTTCACCAGTGCCAGGAAATACAAGGCAAACAGCCTGACAGTGGAGGAGCTGGACAGAAGAGATTATGCTTCACTCCCAGACATCAGCATCTAACACCTTCAGTAGTCTCAATGGGAATATGGACTGCATAGAAGACTGGCCTCACACCTGCATAAAGAAACCATTGGGAGCTGTGCATGGTGGCACATGCCTGTGATTCCAGCACTCAGAAGGCTGAGGTAGGAGTATCAGGAATTCAAGGCCATCCTGGGCTGTATAGCAAGTTCAAGGTCTGCCAAGGCTATATAGCGAGACCCCTTTTCAAACAAACAAACATACCACTGGGCACTATCCCTGCTGTCTCAGAACTCTGGACTTCTCATGCCAGAGGTCAGTCCAAGGAAAAACAAAAAACAGAGCAGAACAGAAACAGATCATAGTGATTACTCTATGCTCTGCTGACATTTGAGCCCCTCCAGGTTCTTATTCTAGCTCTGAACCTCACCTTGGGTAGGTATTTATTGGCTAAGCTTTAGCTCCTCAACCCTACAGTAGAAATAGTGACAATATCAGCCTCTCAGAGTTGTTGTAAACACCAAATAAAATGTGTAAAGCATTTGGCATAGGGCCTAGAGCAGTACTTCTTAACTAGGGGGACAATTTTGCACCCAGGGGACGTTTGGCAGTGTCTGGAGATGTTTCTGGGCGTTAAACTAGGGGAGAGTTTGCTACTGGTATTTAGTGGATAGAGGCCCAAGATGCTGCTAAACATTCTACAATGCACATGACAGTCCCTACAACAAATAACTGTCCAGCTCAAAATGTCACCGGTGCTAAGATTTTGAAACCCTATCCTAGCACATAGCAAGCACTCAGTGAACACAGGCTTTAAAAGTATCTTTCCACTGGGCACCAGTGACTCATGCCTATAATTCTAGATACTTGGGAGGCAGAGATTGGGAGGATCATGGTTTGAGGCCAGCCCAGGCAAATAGTTCTCAAGACCCCATCTCCAAAATAACCAGAGCAAAACAGGCTAGAGGTGTAGCTCAAGCAGTAGAGTGTCTGTTTTGCAAGCAGGAAGCCCTGAGTTCAAACCCCAGCACTACCAAAAAAAAAAGAAAAAAAATATATATCTTTTCTACTATAACAATAAATGAGTTGCAGTTTCTATCTCTCAAGGATAACCATCATCTATGATTAAAATGATGAGACAAAATGCATTACTCACTCCACTTCTTGTAATATTGGGCAACAGATCTGTTATTCTGGAGACAGGAAGAGTCTGTTGTTTGGCTGATTCTGGGGAACTCAGTAACTTCGCGAAATAAATAACATAGCACAGCACCAGAACTGCAGTATAGAAAAGCTGAAAAAAGAAAATAATGGGCTGAAATTAAATTGTTTTACTATAGGCATAATTATGATATATTGATAAATTTAACCTAAAAGGCCAATCGAGAAATAGAACTGCTTTAATTAACAGTACTTTCTATTGAGGTGCCTCACCCTCTGGAAAAGAGCACAATTCACTTAGCCCCAGTTCCACTGCAGCATCCCAAGGCAAATACTTCACTTACCTGGAAGAACATCATTTCCATGATAGATGGCCATTAGCTCAATTGCCACAAGGTCAGGTAAGTTCTTGCAAGATTTGTATTTGGCCAAAGGAACAGCTTTCCCACCTACCCAGCATACTATGAAGATCCAGGTTCCCTGACTGTGTTGATAGCCAGGAACTTGATACCATCTAGGACTGTAGATTTCCCACAAACCCCGGAAACCTGTGACATTTACGATTACAAAGCAGAACTAAGTACTGGCTCTCTCCTCTCTGCCCAGAGCATGGGCAGGACAAGAGCTACTCTAGGATGGAGGAGGAAAGGGTGGAGTGATAAGGGGGACCCACCTTCCTCTCCACCCATCTGGGATAAAGAATGACTTCTGGCATGGAACAGCAGCCAGGCTTTTGTTCACAGGATGGACAGGAGTATCCAAAAGGGTCCCTTTTTACAATCACACTTCTAACCTATTTCCCTCTTGAGAATGGCAGCACATACTAGCGCAAGAACTGGGACCTCCAGGCCCCATTTTCAACTTAGCCATGCCAAGGCTGCTCCTGTCAAAGGCACATTGGCAAGGAGAAAAAAGAGGCAGTTTGGTAGGTTTAGGCTCCTCTGCTTGCCACTCCCAACCATGCCTGAAGTCTGAGCCCATCAATCACAACCAGCAGTTTACTTCTTTCAGGCCTCAAACCCTTATAAAACTCAGTGCCACTGAGTGTTAGTGGCTCACACCTGTAATCTTAGCTACTTAGGAGGCAAGAGATCAGGAAGATCCAGGTTCGAAGCCAGCCCAGGCAAAGAGTTCACAATACCATATCTTGAAAAATCCCATCACAAAAAAAGGGCTGGTAGAGTGGCTCAAGGTATAGGCCCTGAGTTCAAACCCCAGTACTGCAAAAAAGAAAAAGAAAAAGAAAAGAAAACCCAGTGCCAATGTCTTGTGATAAGTGCCCTTCTCTGCCTCTCCTGACTTTGCTGCTGACCAGGGCTTTGGGAAAACAAGAACAACCTATAGGCAATCTTAAGGCATGGAATCACAACCATATGATCCTTCACCACTTTTTATTGAGGAAAAAAATTACATAATAAAAGTCACCATTTAAACTATTTTAAGTGCATAATTCAGTGGCTTTTAGTACATTCACACTGTTGTGCAACCACATACTATCTAATTCCAGAATATTTTCATCACCCCAAAAGGTAACTCTATACCCATTAAGCAGTTACTGCCCATTCCCCCAGCTCTTAGCCAACACTAATCTGCATTCTGTCTGCATGGACTTGCCTAACCTAGACATTGCATATTAATGGAATCATGTAATATGTGGCCTTATTTTTATTTGTTTTTTTGATAGTTACTAGGGCTTGAAGTTAAGACCTCACACTTGCTAGGCAGGCTCTCTACCACTTGAAGCCACTCCACCAGTCCTGTTTTTTTGTGTTGGATATTTTCAAGATAGTCTCATGAACTATTTGCCTAGACTGGCTTTGAACAGAGATCCTTCTGATCTCTGTCTCCTGAGTAGCTAGGATTATAGGAATGAGCCACCAGTGCCCGGCTAATATATGGCCTTCTGTGCCTGACTTCTTTCACTTAGTATAAAATATTCAAAGTTCATCTATGTTGTAGTATGTATCAGTATTTCACTTTTATGGCTAACATTTTGTTGTACAGATATACCACATTTTGCTTATTCATTCATTAGTTGATGAACATTTGGGTTGTTTCTGCTTTTTGTACATTATGGATGGCTTTATGAACACTGATGTACAAATTTTTATTGAACATTTGTTTTCAGTTCTCTTCAGTATATATACTTGGGAGTGGAATTGCTGGATCATGATATTCCTGTTTAACTTCTTGAGGAGCTGCCATACTGTTTTTCACAGCAGCTACATACACATTTTACATGAAACTAGAGTTCCAATTTCTGCATATCCTACCAACACTTATTATTTTCTATTTTTTTAAAATGATAATCATCTTAAAATTAGAGATAAGGGCAGAACAGATTCTGCCTGGAAGTGGGGGAGGGTGGGGGGGGAGGAGGGGATGGGGGGGGAAGGCCCAAACAATGTATGCATGTATGAATAAATGAATAAAAAAAATGATAACCATCTTAATGGGTTTGAAGTGGTACCTCACTGTGGTTTTGATTTGCACTTCCCTACTGACATTAAGCAATTTTTCCTGTGCTTATTGGTCATTTCTTCTTTGGAAAAATGTCTTTTTAAATCCATTGCCCACTTTTTAGTAGAGTGGTTTGTCTTTTAATTGTGACATTATAAGAGTTCTTTATTCTGAAGTTAGCCTTTTATTTGACATATGATGCTACAGGATGAAGGGCCAGTTTAAGGAAGAACTTGGAAGCAAGTGTGATAAGGAGGAATCCCAGTAACCTGGATGGGGTTCATCTGCTGCTATAAGGTATTGCTGGGTCTTAGACCTCTCACACAGACACTGACAGTGACTGTTCCAGATAAGAGTTTTCAGAAGTCTTATAGTAAGGAAGCAAATAAATGCAGAATTAGCCTTGCTGAACAACAACCCAACATGTATCCTGGATAGCAGCTATGACAATCAGAAACTCATAATACAGCACCTTTCTCAAGAAGAACCAACCAGGGGCAGACAAAGTAGCTCAAGTGGTAAGAGCACCTGTCTAGCAAACATGAGGCCCCGAGTTAAAACAAAAAAGAACCAACCACCTACAAGAGAAAGTGCATAAAAACAATGACAAATGATGAGAACTGTAGCTCTAGATCCAATAAAATGGGCAAAAAAAAATCATAAATAACTTCTCTAAATTATGTAACTGTTTGCAAACTGCTTTTATAGGCATTCTCATTCTTATGTCATTTTGTTTTAAATCTAGCTCTTCTGTGTTCTATAAAAATATCTGTAGTTTTTGTCTAGAGCACAAGAAAAAAATTCACATAAATCATTATTAAGCAGCTTCTTAATTTGTCTTTCATACATTAATAAAAACTACAAACTGGAGCCAGGCATGGTGGTGAACACTTGTAATTCCCACACTTGGAAGGCTGAGTAGGAAGATTTCAAGTCCAAGACAAGCCTAGGCTGCATATGATATGCTGTCTTAAAAAAAAAAAAAAACTACAAACTGCTTTGTACTGTAAAATGTTCTGGTAAGTATCTGATGTTAGGTTTCATTCTAGAAATAGAATATAAGGTGGAAGTGAAAAAAAACTGCTAAAACTGAAAATGTACCTGCTCTGACTTGATTCATTTTCTCTGAATTATGTAAGATTTTGATCTAAGTTTAAAACAGGCTTGGCAGAGTTTCCTCCTATTCTGCAAACAACTGATTGAAATTCAGGGAAAATAATACACATGCAAATTGATTCCCACTCCACCCCCTTACTGTTTTGGTTTTTTTCTTAGTTTTTTTATTTTTCTCCTCCATAAGACTACCAGATAATCAATTTGATACAAGCCTGCCCACAGAATGTCTAAAAGGAGTTTTTGATGGTTGACAATGCAGCTGAGTGTTTGGTTCTCCCCAGGTCCCTGAGGTCACCAGTGGTATCATTGTGTGGAACAGGATGGATATGGCAGCCAGAGGAGAATCAATGGCAAGGCCAGCCTTCTATAGTTTCCAGCCTTCCCCACAGGCATGAATAATGTGAATATCAAACACATAGTAGTGTTAAGAAGAAAAAAAAGAGATAAAGAAATATACATTGTATATAAAATTAAAAATCATGACTCTTACCTGAGCCAAAGAAAAAATGAACAGTCCCCAATGAGGCAACCACAGAACAAGAAAAGCTATCAGGAGACTCCTGAGGATAATTGACAGGCTCTCAGCAATTACCTGCAACACATGGTAAAGGTGCACTTTACAGATATTATCAAAAAGTAAAGATGCAGAGGAATGACAAACAGAAAATCTGGGGTGGGGGTTACGGTGGAGATGGGGGTAGGGCATGGTCGGACATAAACATAAGTAATGCTTTACTTCTTGGGTTGAGTGGTAGGTTCATGCATCTTCAGCATGTTATGCTTTAAGATTTCCACATGCTACATATATGTTTTTGCATGTATTAAATAATGTATTTCAAAAGATAAAGAGGAAAAAAGATGAAAAGTCATTAGTTTTCAACTAAGTAAGATCCTTTGGTTGTTTTCTGAGATACAGTCTCACTATGTAGCCAGGCTGTCCTCAAAATCACTATGTAGACCAGACTGCCTCAAACTCATGATCCTCCTGCCTCAGCCTCCTGAGTGCTGGGATTACAGGCACGGACCACCACGCCCCACTTAGCAGAGATAAACTTTAGTTCAGACCACTGATAAATGAATGAACTTAACCCAGCATGTTACCTTTTTCCATGTCTGGAAAAATCATTCTCTCCAGTAAAAACATTAAAAAATAAAACAAAACAAAAACCTTGCTTTCCCTTATCTTTGCATTTCCCATTCACAGAAAGCACACTGACCTTGAGCTTGACGAACATATGTGCATGTGCCATGACCCAGAAGGGCTCTCCTAGAAGTTCCACCACTGCTGAGAAACCAAACAGCACCACTCCAGTTCCATAGTGGGAGACCACATTTGGATCAGGCACTTCAAGCAATTGCAACCAGATCCAGCCCAGGAATAAGGACCAAAGCACACCCAAGGGGACTCTAGAATGTGGCAAAAATGTTATTTAATACACCAAATTTTAAAAGAAATATACATTAAAATAGTAACATTGTGCAGAAAAAAGTCATAATAAAAACAACTATCACAAGTAGCTATTAGTAGATAATGTGGACACAATCTACATGCCTGGCATTATAATTCAAACCCTTTATCTTACTGACACCTCACAATGTTCCTTGGTCATTATCTCATTCAGAAGATGAGGAAACATGGGGGCAGGGAGGAGAAATGACCCAAGCCTTGTATGCACATATGAATAATAAAATAAAAAAAAAAAAAGAAAGAAAAAGAAATCACTACCAGCCTGGAAAAAAAAAAAAAAAGATGAGGAAACAGAGGCTGACAGGGACTGGGTAATTTGGCCAAGATCATGAATATGTAGTCAAGAGAAGAAGCAGGACCCAATCCTAACTAATATAAACTGGATAGGAGCCTATACTCCTATCCAGTTTATACTAACTCAGTAAGCAAAATTCTCAGAAATAAAATGCTAATAGCATTTTCTTAGAATGCTGTGCTTAGAAAGATAGACAGGCACTATACAGCTGATTCTTGTACTCCAAATAACAAATAGTCCACTACACAGGATCCTTTCACATGTGTATCACACAGCACTTAAATAAGACTGAGTAGCTGACAGTGATTTCTCTAAGATAATGAACACCTACCAGCCCTTATGACAGTCATTTCTGTGAAGCAATAGAGAGTTATACAAGGACAGCACTGGGAAACAACCTCAACCTCCAGTCCTCCCTTTGGGGATCTAGCAGCAGAAAAGCAAGCCATTTTCATTTTTAGCTATGTGCTTAGTCTTCAAGAATATTCTAAAAGGCTCAAAATTGAAATCACATAATAAAATTGATGAAGATGTAATGAAACCCTTAAAAGACTTTCAAAAATACTAAGTTGTTGGTAAAAGCTCAAAGATAGTATAGGGCAAAAACATTAGGAATAAAAAAGACAGGACAGGTGGGTCCGAGACCAGTTATCAAGAACTGCAAAAACAACCTCCAAAGATGATAATACCAGGGATAGAAACTTTGCTCAGGGACTCTCAGCCAGAACCAACTCCCAGCTCCTGGACATCCAGAAAGAAAACAAACCAAGAAGCTCCCCTTCCTGCCATCCACCCAACCCCCAGAAACTCACTGCAAAACTGAACCTGGAGACGATTCAGCTTTAGACAGGTGCTGCCATTTCATTCACACAACTCACTACACTAGCCTACTTGAAACTTATCTCCTGCCAAAGCACAACTCACGTTAGCCACAGCAGGTTGAGGGTCTGTCTCCAGTCCCGCTGGGTGCCCCCACTCAGACATGCTCTGCGGAAGGCTTCTCTGGCCAGGAATATGGTGGTTGAGTAAAGCAGTGTCAGTCTGTGAAGGAATAGGAGTAATCAGTAAGGCCTCCAGTTTTTATTTTTGTTTTGTTTTGTTTTAGAGATTGAACTTCTTGCGTTTTTCCAGCAACAGGGATGAGAAAAGATCTTGGTCACAAATTACTGGTGGTGAGGTAAAGGGTAATGGGCTCTTATAGGATCTCTCCCACTCCCAGTCTGATTCATGTGAGTAACATAGTTAGGAACCAAACAAGCACATCTGAGTATGTGTATCTACAGAGCATAAAAACTGATCCAGGGGTGTGGTCCTGACCAAAAGGGAGAGAAAATGACAAGCTTATCAACCCACACAGCAATCACAGTAAGACAAGTGACCCTATAGCCCCTATGAGAGAAGCTGAAGCTCTGTTGCATAGAGATGCTGGCCAAAAGAATCTCAGGACAAACTGACAGCTATTACAGAGGCTGTTGCAACCCAGCTCAGCAAGGCTTGCCTGAGTACCTCACAGATGGGTGGCACCTGGATAAGCCTTCCTGCACCTCGAAGAGCAACTGAGACTACCCTGATTCAAGTCAGTGGCCCACATGAAGCCAGAGTAGGAATGTCTCAGAGTTAAGGTCTCTGAAGTGTCCAAGGATCACCCTGTTCCACAGTGCCTCTGTCCAACATTGCAAATGAGGAGATGGAGCCATACCTTATGCAGGGACAGGCCAGGCCAGGCCAGGGCTGTCAAGGCAGGCACCTGTCAATCTGGGAGATACAATATGGGGAGAAAAATCTGAGCATTCTAAGATTTGTCTTTCTTCCTTTCTGCTTTTAAGATAGCATTTCTCAAAGTATGGCTGCTGCTTCAAAATCACCTGTGAAGCTTGTAAAAATGCATATTCCTGGGTCCTTCTTCAGTGCAAAAGCTCCAAGATGATCCCTTTGCCAACCAAAGCTTAAGAACTGCCACTTGGCTCTGTTCTCAGAGCCAAGAGCATGTATTTGGTAAACATCTGACATGAAATGCTGTCTAGAACATACTGTCTTGCTTATTAAGACATGAATAAACACCTAAGAAGCTAAGCTATTATGAGCACTTACATCAATTGATATACTTTTGTGACATTTGTGAATACAAAATATGTGTGGGTGTCCTTAAAAAGAAAAGAGAGAAGAAACAAGCTGAGTCTAAAAGACAAAGCAAATCAGCTTTCCAAGAGCCTCCAAGGAACTGAAGACAGGAATTCAAGCTCTGATCCCAGTTACCATATCCCAACTATAAAGTCACTGAGAAAGAAAGGTGGCTGTTCCAACCCTACAATTATGAAGTACATCTTCACAAACTACAGAATTCCTGCTTCCTTCACTGCCAGCAGGACAAGAACACAGGATTATACCTGAAATGGAGTTTGTGATGAATTACTCCCACTCTCCTCCTGGGTTCTAAGAGCAGGAAAACCAGAACAGATGGCAGAGAAATGTGCATTTAGAGGCTGCTAATGGAAAACACTCCATGGGTCCATTAAAAGCAATGTCGCCCGCTCATCCCCCACCCTTGCACACTTTTCCTCAGCCCCTGCTAAAACACTCTGCTTCTGGTAAAGATCTATGCTTCTAGAAACAAAAGGCAACACACAGGTATGTTCTAAAAAAATATGATTAGGAATGTGAGCTATGGACAGGCCAGAGTGCATCTCCTCTTACCTTACATTTACTACACCAATGATTTCCTTTGATAGGAAGCGGAGAATAAATGCATTCAAGACAAAGGTGATTAATCGAAACATCACCTGTAGAAAAAGAAAAACATTTAATAATAAATTCTGTTAGGAATATTTGCTGAAATGAGGACAATATGGCTGTTTTCCTAATGTGATGTAATGACACACAGTAGCTTTGCCACTGAGACTCTCCTCTAACACATTCAACTTGTTTGCCTTTCTACTTAAATTTCATTCCCTGCAGTCCTGTGCACTGGCCAAAGAACCCAGGAAGGCACCTGGGAATCTCCCTAATTTACTGATGAGAAAAGAGAGGCTTCAACAGATTCAGTGAGTTTCTTCAGGTTCAAAGTCAAGCATTCCAGGAGGCAGAAAGAGAATTGTATTAATGGTTTATATTGCCCAACTATCTAACAAAAAGTCTCCAGCCTGTTTAGAAATAGCACACACTAAGCAAGTGAGAGCCTGCAGGGTACAGCAGACTCATTAGGAATCATAGAGTCTAATTTCTCCTTCTTCTCTGCCTGGTAATTTCTAGGGATTCCAAGAATGACATTTAATCACCTTGAAATGTGCTTTTCTCAATTAGAAAACAGAAAATGCTGTATTTCTTTATTTAATATTTGTCCCCTTTCTAGAGAGGAGCTGGCACGTCTTTTAAATAATAACTGCAATAATAATATAAAATGTGAGTGGGGAGACAAAGTCCCTATTGTCACTTGACAGCGACATATCCTGAGACTTTCAAACCTGTCAACTCAAGAAAACCACCTAAACAAAGAATTCTTCTCATGAGACACAAGAGAATAAGAAGGCTGCAATTAAATGGGCTGCCAAATGGAAATGCTGGATAAGATGCAAGTCTCACTTACTGACTCCCCCTGCACCCCAGCAACAAATGAAAAATCACTTCTGTGTTAAGCAATTTTCAGAACTATCTGTGAACAGCTGCACTTTGGAGGATTCAGTTAAAGTACATATGGTCTGAAAATATCTGGGCCATTAACATTGTCCCTAAAGTGTCACAGAGTGGCACTTTAAGATTATCATCATCTTAACCTTTATGGAGTCAAAGGTGACCTTTTGAGAGTTTTGATGAAAGCTCTGTAGCCTCTTAGAAACATGAAGATACATGCATACATGCCAAATTCTGTACTCAGTGTTAGAGGCTTGGAACCAATTAACGAAGCCCTTACTAGAGAAAATATTTGGCTAAGAGTCTCAACTTACCATTTAGCTCTTAGACTTGTCACCCTGTGCTTCCTAGGCAGGCACTCGACCACTTGAGTCATGTCCACAGACCCTTTTGCTTTAGTTATTTTTCATATAGGGTCTCATTTGATGACAATCCTCCTATTTATACTTCCTGTATAACTGGGATGACAGGTGTGTGCCACTGTGGCCTGCTTTTATTGGTTGAGATGGGGGTCTGGAGAATTTTTTGCCAAAACTGGCCTCTAATGGAAATCTTCCTGATCTCTGCCTCCTAAGTATCTGGGATTATAGGTGGGAGCCACCCCATCCAACTCAAATTCTTGTATAATAAAGTGTAATTGGAAAGTTACCTGAAGTATTGGCATTGTGACTTAAGGAAGCATACAAGAGTGAATTAAAACACTCAAGCAGGCTGGTAGAGTGGCTCAAGTGGTAGACTGCCTGCATAATAAGCATAAAGCCCTGAGTTCAAACCCCAGTACCACCAATAAATAAATAAATAGGAAAAAAAAACCTCAAGAAACCAAAATTTTATGGCTATTTTCAAAAATCCATGTCCACACATTTATGTTAACTTTAAAGTTATCATTTCAATAAAAACAGCATGGTACTGGCACAAAAACAGACATGAAGACCAGTGGAACAGAATAGAGGACCCAGATATGAAGCCACACAACTTTAACCAACTTGTCTTTGAAAAAGGAGCTAAAAATATACGATGGAGAAATAGCAGCCTCTTCAACAAAAACTGCTGGGAAAACTGATTAGCAGTCTGCAAAAAACTGAAATTAGATCCATGTATATCACCCTATACCAATATTAACTCAAAATGGATCAAGGATCTTAATATCAGAGAACAAACTCTAAAGTTGATATAGGAAAGAGTAGGAAATACTCTGGAGTTAGTAGGTATAGGTAAGAACTTTCTCAACAAAACCCCAGCAGCACAGCAACTAAGAGATAGCATAGATAAATGGGACCTCATAAAACTAAAAAGCTTCTGTTCATCAAAATAAATGGTCTCTAAACTGAAGAGAACACCCACAGAGTGGGAGAAAATATTTGCCAGCTACACATCAGACAAAGAACTGATAACCAGAATATATAGGGAACTTAAAAAACTAAATTGTCCCAAAACTAATGAACCAATAAAGAAATGGGCAAGTGAACTAAACAGAACGTTCTCAAAAGAAGAAATTCAAATGGCCAAAAAACACATGAAAAAATGCTCACCATCTCTAGCAATAAAGGAAATGCAAATTAAAACCACACTAAGATTCCACCTCACCCCTGTTAGAACAGCCATCATTAGCAACACCACCAACAACAGGTGTTGGTGAGGATTCGGGGAAAAGGAACCCTCTTACACTGCTGGTGGGAATGTAAACTAGTACAACCAGTCTGGAAAAAAATTTGGAGGCTACTTAAAAAGCTAAACATTGATCCAGCAATACCACTCTTGGGGATATACCCAAAAGACTGTGACACAGGTTACTCCAGAGGCACCTGCACACCCATGTTTATTGCAGCACTAGTCACAATAGCCAAGTTATGGAAACAGCCAAGATGCCCTACCACTGATGAATGGATTAAGAAAATGTGGTATCTATACACAATGGAATTTTATGCAGCCATGAAGAAGAACGAAATGTTATCATTCGCTGGTAAATGGATGGAATTGGAGAACATCATTCTGAGTGAGGTTAGCCTGGCCCAAAAGACCAAAAATCGTATGTTCTCCCTCATATGCAGACATTAGATCAAGGGCAAACACAACAAGGGGATTGGACTTTGAGCACGTGATAAAAGCGAAAGCACACAAGGGAGGGGTGAGGATATGTAAGACACCTACAAAATTAGCTAGCATTTGTTGCCCTTAACGCAGAGAAACTAAAGCAGATACCTTAAAAGCAACTGAGGCCAACAGGAAAGGGGACCAGGAACTAGAGAAAAGGTTAGATCAAAAAGAATTAACCTAGAAAGTAACACATATGCACAGGAAATTAATGTGAGTCAACTCCCTGTATAGCTATCCTCATCTCAACCAGCAAAAACACTTGTTCCTTCCTATTATTGCTTATACTCTCTCTTCAACAAAATTAGAGATAAGGGCAAAATAGTATTGAGGGTATTGAGGGGGTTGGGGGGGAGAGGGAGGGGGCGGAGTGGGTGGTAAGGGGGGGGCAGGGGGGAGAAATGACCCAAGCCTTGTATGTACATATGAATAATAAAATTAAAAAAGTTATCATTTCAAAAAAATTTAATGTTTCAGGCCATATACATATCTCCTAATTGGTTTAAATAAAGGTGTGAACCAGTGAAGCTCAAGCTACTAGTACTTGCCAGTGCAATGACTCTTATTAGCAACACTATTTCCATTTACTTTCACAAAGGAAACACAGTTTAAAAATGCTCTGTCACATTTGCTAATTGACTTTCAAAAACTAGGAAAATGCAGAAGTAACAAGTAAGACTCAGGGTGATATACCTAATGTCACACAGCAAGCAAATAACCTAGCTTGACTCTACAGATAGGCCACCTGACTCCCAGTCTTCTGTCTTCTTATGAGCCAATCGATGTAATAATGTATTATCAAAGTTGGAAAAAATTAGCTGGGTGCCATTGGCTCACGCCTGTAATCCTAGCTACTCAGAAGGCAGAGATCAGGAGGATTGAGGTTCTAAGCCAGCCTAGGAAAATAGTTAGCAAGAACCTATCTTGAAAAAAATCCACCAGAAAAATAGGGCTGGTGGAGGGGCTCACAGTGAAGGCCCTGAGTTCAAACCCCAGCACTGCAAAAAAGAAAAAAAAAAAAGCAGCTGGAAAAAAAATCAACTTTTTGGGTAAAGCATTGAACAGTTATTTATGCTGTGGAACTGAAAAACAAACAACTAGGTAAACTTAGGGTTAGGTAAAGGTTGGTTAACAGCATAGCATATAGTGTGTGCAAGGCATTTTTTTACACACTTTATGTAGACTACCTCATTTCATCCTTACACTGACTATTTAAAAACATATTATCCTAATAAAAATAGCTAACATTCATTAGCTATTCATTAGGTCACCTTTGACTCCATAAAGGTTAAGTGCCAGGCATTTGACAGGCATGATTTCATCTAATCTTCTTAATGACTCTGTGAGGTTGCATGAATGTTCTCATTTAAGGTGGAGGAAAGTAATGCTCAGAGAAGTCAAGCAATCTTCTCAAAGGCAGGTATCTAGCAAATTGACAAGGTCCAAACTAGAGTCCAAGTCTTTCTCCTAATCTCTGTGTGCCTAAAATAATGAGGAGGATAAATTCAGGATTTGGGGGGAAAAATTGCTCTAGAGTAAGACATAGAGAAATGAGCCACTTGGCTTGGAATAACCAGTTCCTAGGGTTGAAATAATCCTTAGATACCATTTGGATGAACTGGCATGTATCAAAAAATTAGAGCCAAGCAAGAGCAAATTTTCCAAGGGCACACAGAAAGAAGATACATTCAACTTTTTGTTTGTTTGTTTGGTGGGACTGGGATCTGAACTCAAGGCTTCCTGCTTGCAAAAGCAAGTGCCCTGCCGCTTGAGCTATGCCTGAGTTCATTTTGCTCTGGTTGTTTTGGAGATGATGTCTCACTAACTACTCGCCTGGCTGGTCTCCCAAGTAGCCAGGATTACAGGGATGAGCCACCGGTGCCTGGCACAGCTAATGTTTATTAAGTACACACTAAGATATGGGTACTGCATTAAGTGCATTTATTCAAACGATCACAACCCTTGTCACTACCTTCTGAATTAGATACTATCATTACCCTCATTTTTTCAAGAAGCACGTGGAATCAGTTGTTCTGGGTGCTGCAGCAAGTACACGGTGCCAACGCAGGCCTGCCTGAGCCAGGATCCCTGTGCCATACGGTCTCTTAGTTGGAGAGTCAAGTTCAAGGAAAGTGTTTGAGGCTCAAGGGTGGGACATGGAGAAAACGAATCTCTTGCCTTAAAAAAATCAGATTCCCGAACATGAAATGTCTCCTGCCTCAGCCACTTGCCTGAATTCTCTCCCATTGCCATATGGGAAATAAAGTGCTCAGAAAGAAAATGGCTTGTTTGCAGTCACTCAGTCAAGACTCTGACCGCCGGTTCCCAACTTCTAGCTCAGGCGCCCCCTCACCGCCACCATGGTCTCTGCTGACCCTCCTCCACAGCCGGGGTCCACGTCGGGGCTGCCCCAGAGCGGGGTCTCGAGGGTCCTAGAGCGTGTCCCCACCTAACCCTGGCTGCGGCACGGGGTAAAGCCGGTAGAACAGAAAGTACCTGCAGGAGGAGACCGGAGGAGGCCAGCCGGGCCGCCTGGCCCAGCACCTCCTGGCTGCCCATAGCATCTGCGTCCTGGCCCTGACAGGTGGAAACGTAGCCGCCACCGCCCACTTCGGCGCGGGAAGATAGCGTCATGGACAGGCTCGCTCGCTGATTGGTGACTTTGCGATACCGGGGGGCGGGACATGAGACGTTGTGGACCTCTGGGTTGGGCTGTTAGCGCCCCTGCGCCTCACTCTCTCTTCCCTTTTTTTTTTTTTGGTGGCTCTAGAGTTTGGCTTCCCACTTGCAAAGTAGACTACCGCTTAAGCCACACCTCCAGTCCATTTTGCTCTGGTTATTTGGGAGATGAGATCCCTCGAACTATTTGCCTGGGCTGGCCTGGAACTGTGATCCTGATCTCAGCCTCCCAAGTAGCTAGGATTACAGATGTGAGCCACCAGCCCACTCTCTTCTCCCTTTGTGACGGGCCTATTATCTTTGTCTCTCTGTCCCAAGTAAATAAAATATTGTGACCAATATTAAAAGATGGTGTTAGTTGGGTGTAATAATGTATGAGTGTAATCCAGCACTTGGGAGGCTGGGGCAGGCAGGAGGATCAGAGTTCTTCCAGCCTGGATTACATAGTGAAACCCTGTCTCAAAAAAGAAAAAAAGAAAAAGAAAAAAAAAGAGATGGAAAAGATGGTGCTGCAGTAGTCAAAGTCCTTTCTCAGACTACCAACCAAGAAGCATTACTTCTGTGGCTTCATTTGCTCACCAGCCTTCTTAATCAGATTCTTATCATTGGCCTTTGCTTAGACAGTCCCCCTGAATTAGACTGGACAGGAATTCTCACCATTTTTCAGAGAAAGAACTGAGGACCTGAAGTTAAATACAGCATTTTCATGTATATGGTTTTATGAAATCCTTCCTAAAGCTCTGAGACTTGAGCCCTGTTGTAAGATGAGGAAAGTGAGCCTGGGGTTGTGAAGTGACTCATTCAAATCTACACAACTTGCCAGATTGCAGGTGGCTCATGCTCGAAAGCCTAGCTAATCAGGAAGCAAAGATCAGAAGGATATAGTTTGAAGCCAGCTCGGGCAAATAGTTTACAAGAAGCTATCTCAAATAGCCAATACATAATATATAATAATTCACTGATTTTTGTGTGTTGGTTTTGTATCCCATAATTTCTGAATTTATTTATTAATTATAAGTTTGATTTTTATTTTGCTAGTATATAATAGTTGTACAGGGGAATCTATACAGATTTCTACATATAAGACCGTGTTATCTTTAATCAGAAATAATTTTATCTTTTACCTTCTACATTTCTTGATTTTCTTTTCTTGCCCATTTCCTCTGATCTGAACATTCCATATTATGTTGAACAGAAGTGGCATAAAGAAGCAAGAAGTCAAACTCCTGATCTTAGGCAAAAATCTTCAGTCTTTCACCAATGCATATTATCTGTGGGTTTCTCATTTATACCCATTATTTTGAGATGGTTCCTTCCATTCCTAATTTGCTGAATTTTTTTATATGAAAAATAAATTTTGTCAGGGCTGGGGCTGTAGCTCAAGTGGTAGGGTACTTGTCTAGCAAGTGTGAGGCCCTAAGTTCAATCCCCAGTACTACAAAACAAAAATGAATTTTGCCAAATGTTTTTGTGAAAAAAATTGAAAAGACCATATTGTTTATCCACTCCCTCATTTGTCAAAAGTGGTGTGCTACATTGATTGAACTTTTTATATTAAACCATATTTAAAATCTGGTAATAAATCTTATGCAGCAACGTGTTAAAAAACCCCACAAAAACAGGACTGGTGGAGTGGCTCAAGTGGTAGAGAGCTCCTGCTTAGCAAGTGTGAGGCCCTGAGTTCAAGTCTCAATATTGCCAAAAAAATCTACACAATTCATACCTTGGCAGAGTGGGTCTCAGGCTTCTGCTGATCTTGCCTGCGTACTAGGAATTATGAAGTCAGAGTGGAAAAGTGGCCCAGACATGCTTATTATACTATGATGCCAGTCATTGGAAGCTCAGTCTTTTCCTAATCTTTTTAGGCCTTCCATGATTTGGCCCCAGTCTACATTCTGACCACCTTTCACATCATCACTGCCTTTTTCCAGCACACTCTAAGCCCTAGCCATTTGGAGCTCTTACTGGTCTTCAAACAGGCCCTGTCTGGTTGGCCTTAACTCCTTCCACCTTCTCTGCACAAAGTATCTTCTCCGACAGTACCCTTTGTCTTCCCAAGCACCCCCCTCTGTCTGACTATCCACAGTCACTACTTGTTACTGACTAAATGTTTGAGCCCCTTCAAAATTCATATGTGGAAGCCCAATCAACAAAATGATGGCATTAGGAGGGCATTTGGGACCTAGGTCGTGAAGATGGAGCTTTCATGATGAGATTAGTCTCCTTATTAGAAGATATTTGAGAGAGATGCTCTCTCTGCTCACCATGGGAGGATACAGCAAGGAGGCCATCTGCAAACTGGAAAGAGGGCACTCACCAGGAACTGAATTGGCCAGCATTTTGATCTTGGACTGCCAGACTCCAAAACTGTGAGAAATAAATGTTTGTTTTTTTAAGCTGTCCAGTCTATGGTATTTTGTTATAGCAGCCAAAGTAGATTAAGACAGTGCCCTAAAGTACTTTGTAGCCCAATATAACTCATAGTACAATCTATATTACAATGAACAGACAAACCAACCCATGGGCTCCAAGAAGGCAGGAGTAAGCCTATCTAGCTTTGCCTCCTTCAGAAGTGGCAGAGAACATTCCTAGGGCTTCCATAAGTGCCTCCTGCCACATCACTGTTACAACTGCTGTGGAAACAGACCATTGCTTAAAACTACACATCTTCATCTCACTGAGTGAAATTAGCTCAGTTGCAGTGTGGAGGTTCTGTTGTAATGTTAGCATTAGATCTCAGACAGATTTAACCTTGAATCTTCATTCTGCCATTCATTGACTAGGTGTCATCAGTGTGTGTGTGTGTGTGCATGTGTGTAGATAGGTAACTAGCTAGATAGCTAGATAAATAATTATCCATCCTATTAGGGTAGTTGTAAGGATTATAGCAGATAAGGCTGGATCTAAAGATGCTTAAATTTGAGTGGAAGGGAGAATGAAAAGAATCCTAAGAACAAATGATAAAATTCCACATTGGTATCAGTGCTATGAAAGAATGAAACCCGTTAAGATGATTAGAGGCTCTTGAACGGAAGGGAGGGGTACTGCCCTGGAAGATGGAGGAAGTTGGGCACCTGCCTAGGAGAAGAGTAGACCTGGAGAGTACAGAAAGCTCTGAGAATTGAGGTATCCATTATAACGGCTGAGATGTTCAAGGCCTTGACCTGAGCAGCCTGGTCACTCTATAGACTAGGGACTGGCAGGTAGTGTGGACTCCACTTCCCTTCATTCCAAGCCAACCAGCTTGCATAGTTCCTGCTGGAGCATAGTCAACCAAGAGCTCTTCATGTACATGTTCTCCTAAGCCTGGGTATCCACAGGGGGTAGTTTGGGAGGGACAAGGGGATTGTTTTCTTGGGTGCAAAGAAGCCAGAAGGTAAATGCTCCTAGTTAAGTTCAAAGGGTAAGCCGGTACCAGTGGCTTAGACCTGTAATCCTAGCTACTTGGGAGGCAAAAATCAGGAGGCTCATGGTCAAAGCCAGCCCAAGCAAGTGGTTCACGAGACTTTATCTCAAAAATATCCAACACAGTAAAAATGATACCTGTTGAAACTGTTCCAGGAATCAGGGGAGAGGGGAGAGGAGGGTAGTGGAGGGGGGAATTCAAGTATGATATATTTGATACGTTGTGAGAACCTTTGTAAATACTACAATGTACCCACACCCAATACAACAACAACAACAACAAATACCCAACACAAAGAAGAGCTGGACAAAAGAAGAAATTCAAATGGCCAGAAAACACATGAAAAAATGCTCACCATCTCTAGCAATAAAGGAAATGCAAATTAAAACCACGCTAAGATTCCACCTCACCCTTGTTAGAATAGCCATCATCAGCAACACCACCAACAACAGGTGTTGGCGAGGATGCGGGGAAAAAGGAACCCACTTACACTGTTGGTGGGAATGTAGACTAGTACAACCACTCTGGAAAAAAATTTGGAGGCTACTTAAAAAGCTGGACATCGATCTACCATTTGATCCAGCAATACCACTCTTGGGGATATACCCAAAAGACTGTTACTCCAGAGGCACCTGCACATCCATGTTTATTGCGGCACTATTCACAATAGCCAAGTTATGGAAACAGCCAAGATGCCCCAACACTGACGAATGGATTAAGAAAATGTGGTATCTATACACAATGGAATTTTATGCAGCCATGAAGAAGGAAATGTTATCATATGCTGGTAAATGGATGGAATTGGAGAACATCATTCTGAGTGAGGTTAGCCTGGCTCAAAAAACCAAAAATCGTATGTTCTCCCTCATATGTGGACATTAGATCAAGGGCAAACACAACAAGGGGATTGGACTATGAGCACATGATAAAAGCGAGAGCACACAAGGGAGGGGTGAGGATAGGTAAGACACCTAAAAAACTAGCTAGCATTTGTTGCCCTTAACGCAGAGAAACTAAAGCAGATACCTTAAAGCAACTGAGGCCAAGAGGAAAAGGGGAACAGGTACTAGAGAAAAGGTTAGATGAAAAAGAATTAACCTAGAAGGTAACACCCACGCACAGGAAATCAATGTGAGTCAATGCCCTGTATAGCTATCCTTATCTCAACCAGCAAAACCCCTTGTTCCTTCCTATTATTGCTTATACTCTCTCTTCAACAAAATTAGAAATAAGGGCAAAATAGTTTCTGCTGGGTATTGGGGGGGAGAGAGGGAGGGGGCGGAGTGGGTGGTAAGGGAGTGGGTGGGGGCAGGGGGGAGAAATGAACCAAGCCTTGTATGCACATATGAATAATAAAATTAAAAAAAAAAAAAACAAAAAACAAAGAAGAGCTGGAGGAGTGGCTCAAGTGGTAGAGTGCCTACCTAGCAAGCTTGAGGCCCTGAATTCAAGCCCTAGTACCAATAACGACAACAAAAAGCTCAAAGGGCAAAGGCTCTTGGGAGCTCAA